GATTCTGCAACTGGTATTCTGAAACTGGAAAGTCAGATTCTGCAACTTGCCTTCTGAAACTTGCAACTGGTGATCTCCACATCATGCGATAGCGTGTGTGCCTGTGACATCACCTTCGAGGCACATCCAAACAACCGTCATTAGCCCCCCACCCAACCCCCCCACCCCCAACCCCCCCTTGTCCCCATCGTGTGATCTCGACATCCCTCATCATTCACAAAGTTGCGGAATCCTAGTGAGGGAGTCCACAATGTTGCGGAATCCTAGTTGCGGAACGCCAGTTGCGGAATCCCAGTTGCAGAATCCTAGTTGCGGAATCTTGACAGTTGCGGAATCCTAGTTTCGGAATCCTAGTTGCGGAATCCTAGTTGCGGAATTCTAGTTGCGGAATCCTAGTTGCGGAATCCTAGTTTCGGAATCCCAGTTGCGGAATCCCAGTTGCGGAATCCGACCAAACAGTTGCGGAATCCTAGTTGCGGAATCCTGCGCAGTTGCGGAACTCGACTTTATCCTGCAATACAAATCCTTTTCGAAGTCTTGAAGCCCCCGATGGACACTAGCTGTACACCAAATCTTGCTACCCCAGAAAGCGCAAAGCCCCCCTGCCTGTCTCACAGTGTTTCGAGCCTGTCGGTATCGACACGTGTCGGCTGGAAGATCTGGGGCCTTGCTTGAAGCACGATTCCTCCTGCAAAGCTCGACAGTCTGTCTCTGTCTCTCTCTCTCTCTCTCTCGCTCCCTCCCTCCCTCCCTTGAAGTTGTGCATGCAGGAACCTACATGGGTGCCGGCTGATCCATCGCAAAAAGAACCTTCTACTCAAAGCCTTGCCACATGCCAACCAAAATTGGCACATACAAAACGTGATTCTAGGTTGGAGACCATCGCTAGTTGGTTGGAGGCCATCGCTAGTACAAAAAATGCAACCACCCCACCCAAAGCCACCTCCTCGTAGCCCTGCACGGTGACCAGCTGAATGACACGCTGTGGCCATGGGAGGAAAGCCTCTAAGATCTCCAATACAGGCCATGGATTCCATAGACTCGGCTGCATGATGCATGAATCAAGTTCAACTAGTCATTTAGAGAGCACACTAACTAGCTCGCATAAGTGAAGGTAAATCCTAGTCTTGGAACATCACGCGAAAGTGAGCCGCATTTACTACATTGAGGGAAGAAGAACATTCAAAGCTTGGGACAAAGATAGGTATCCGTATAGGACAGCATTAGGTGAAAGCGATGGAGCTTCTGGGCACTGGATTGGGCACTTCAATTGACAATCATGCACCAAAGAGACTGCTCACCCAGCAGGTTTGAGGCTCCTGTCGTGAAGCTGCTTTGGGTCACAGTACTTACAGGCAGGTTTTGCATTCCAAGACGCAGGAGATCCACCCAGTTGCCCTTGGCAGCGAGGTGCATGAAGTGAAGTGCCGAAAGGAAGCGCTCCTGGACCGAACACACGAGGGCCGGTCGGTGGCCCAGGTGAGCATGTCTAAGGTCCCGGAACCCCTAGTAGCTTCTTGTTCCTAGTAGTAAGGCCAGGAGCCCCTAGTAGCATCCTTGCTCCTAGTGGCGATGCCAGGAGCCCCTAGTAGCTTCTTGCTCCTAGAACCATCTAGAACCTACAAGTCATTAGAAGTCTTGAAGGTTGCGAGCTTTTCCGCGTTTGAGGAAACAAGACTCCACATCTTTATTCATTTTCTTCGAAACCGTCTTCTTCCAATTGTGAACCAACATCGGATAAATTCCAAAAGTCACCAAGTTCCTGATACCTCCATAGACCAACCCTAACCAGGACCTCCTTTCCAATCATGCTGGACCGGAAGAGATCCACACTTCTCAACTTGTCATTGTTTGAGGTCCTTGTTCACCACCAAGTTTCGCATGCCTCCAGCTCCCAACACACAAGCAAGCGGGCAAGCTGCATATTGATGCTGATCAATTTCTTCAAGGAACGAGCTTGGTCAACCGAGTAGCGTACACGCCTTAAAAGAAATAGCTACTGCAAGAAAGAGAAGGAGCATCTCCTGTCTGAGGTGGGTGCATGGGGGCATTGGTCACACGCAGCTATGCCTACCAAGTGCAAACAAAACCACCCTAGGTGGTCTTCAAGCTTGTCCACCCTACAACTACTCACTGCAGCCTGCGATTGCCAAGGCAGCAGGAACCATGCAGCATGAACAATTCTGTGACCATTGGCTCAACCTGGCCAAAGCACATGAGTCACATGCACCTCAAACACAACATTCACATAGAATCAGCAAACCAACTTCCGTCCAGTTGCGAGGAAGTCACTCCACAGCAAGAAGGACCACAACATTAGCTGCTTCCAACCTACTAGCGATGGTCTCCAACCTAAGAGCGGTGGCGTCCAACCTCCTAGCACTTGCACATAGGCTGTTTCGTTTGCTGTACCCGCAAGGCTGTGTTCTTCTGGGCCTCCAAGAGGCTGGCACTGATGCCGCTGCCCTGCGGAGCTGCTGAACATCCTGCAAGTGAGGGCATGTGGAGCGGGCTATCATGTCCCAGAAGTCAAACCTGCCGTTGGAACCTGTAACGCTAACAGGGTATATATCATACCCAAAATCATCATCATACCCAGAAAAGTCGTCCTGGCCTGTAGAGGTGCAAAACCGGTAAGACTATGCATGTAACACTTCGTACAAAAAACAACATGGATTTCCTCAATGACTTGGCAGGCTGCGATCCGCTTTTGCGATTGTGAAGCCCACGCTAGCCGCTAGCAGCTAGCAGCCAGCAGCCGCTTGCATCTTTTGTTTAACTTGACGGTAGCCAGTGCAGCATGGGCTAGTTAGGCTAGTTGCTCAGTCCAAAACGACATTGGTGATTGGTGAGCACTTGCACGCATATTCTATATATATATAATGATATAATTCTAAGAAGTGAAGACCACAGCCAGTCCTGTGTTCCATAATAGCATGTTTCGAGTTACAACCATGGGCATCCCAAAGCTCCTGTTCAACGATTCCTCGCTGGAGTCCGCCTCAAGCCGCTTGGTCAAGCGTGCGGGTTCCATGTTCTGCCTTGTTCTCCGCTTTTTGTCAAAACTGATTGAGGTTTACGGCAAACACGCTGGCAGGGGTAGTCAATCATGCACAATTGTGTTAAGGTAAGGAATGGTAGCACACTAGCTCGTAGCCAACTTCACCTGACCCGATAGAGAGACAAACATGAGACAACCACCTAACGACAAACAGTTCACCCGTGGGTTTTCCATGCCCTGGCTTTGGATCCAAACTTGCTATCCTGCTACCCCTCGCTGGTTCTACTAGAACAAGTTCCCATCCTTGACCGAAGACCAAAAATAAAGCAAGCATGTCATAGTCCAAAAAACATTTTTTGGCTCAGGTGTTCTCCTGATCCGAGGCATCTGAATAGGAGCTTGAGCTGGAGATCTCATCTGGCTGACCTGGTCGCAGGGGCACATCGCCTCCTAGACCGCCACAAGCCTTGGACGCCAAGCGGACTCGCTGAATGAGGTGCCTCCGGAAGTAGCGGTCACCGGCACAGAGGTCCACCGCTCGAGCAAAGTGCTGCTGCAAAGTTCGAAGGAAATCATCATCTGCCAGCAACACGGACTGCAACTGAAACCAGGAGGCCGGAGCCTCTGCGAATGGGGAGGTCTGTTGCAGGACCTGTCTCAGGCCACCGTTTTCGAAATGGGCGGCTGCATCCTCCAGCTGGTCCAAGCAGTCGTCCTTGGTATCTCGGAAGGATCGAGGACTCATAGAGTAGGAATCCAAGAAGAACGGGCCCTCCAAATCCGCCGTGTGCAAAAAGTGGTCCACTTGCAAAGGGTTCAGGTTCACGAAGGATTCATAAACCCCCAAGCACATCTCCTGAGACACACAAATCACAGTATGAGCCACTCCCCCACTGAACATGTAAACATCCCCTGGACGTAAAAGGACCACCTTGGCCGCCTTCTGCAAGGCCTCCAGTTCACGCGTGCGTAGGGGAGGTGCGAAGAGCACGTCATAGAATTCCATGGCCACCTCTTTGCTGACTTCCCCTTTGGGCCAGGCCGCTACCAACTTGTAGCCCTGATAGTTCCGCCCCACGTTGCTCCACAAGACCTGATCGACATGAAGACCTTTGCCACTCCCCCGGCCACCGGCAAAGAATCCTTCATCATAGCGGTCCCAGTAGAGGGTCCAGGTGGCTAATGGTCCGAGCACATCCTTCATATCCCTCTGGCAAATCGTCTTCACCTTCTCACCGAGACTCATGGGATGAGGTGCTTCTTGCTTCAATCGCATCTCTGCCACATAGAGTGAATTGGGATTGGCTTCCTTCGCCTCAGCCATCCGCAAGGCCTCGCGAATTCGCTTGCCCAGGTCCAGCTTGTCCTTCCGCAGGATGTCCCGCTGCTGACGCTGGGGATCGATGTACTCCACGTCCGCACGGTACTTCTCCAGCATCTCTGGACGATACAACACCCGGCTGATGAAGTCATAGGCACTGCGACAGTCCTGCAAACACTCGCGGACGTCTTGAGGGATGCAATCCACAAAGCTCAGATCGAGCAATTCCGTCCCACGTGGCAGAACGACAAAGTCTTCCACATGATATCCAGTGACCAGTTCCTTCAGGAAGTCTGCGGCCGTGTGGATCACACGCGGATACCGTGCCGGATCTTTCAGCAGCTCGACAGGCCAAATGCCTTGAACCATGGCTATCTCCGCCTCTGTGTACATGGCAGGTGGACAAACAAGCGATCGACCTTTTGTTTGGGAGGTGCTTTTCTTCCAATGGTTTCAGGTTTTCAGGGTCCCTGTCCCAGTTGGCGTGCAATCTTATTTGTGTGAACATGAGGGTCAAACTATTCTTTTGAACTAATGATTTATCGCCTCTGATGAGCGTCTATTTGCGGAATGTCCCTGTTCGTACAAAATGCATCTAAGGAGGAACATGGTTCATGGAGTTCATGGACACTAATTTGCATTTTCCATCAGCCTGAGGCTGAGGCTGTATGAGCCCAAAACCTGCACGTTCTCACGGATGCAACCAACAACAAGCAGTGCATTACACACATTATGCGCCCAGCAACTCAACCAGCCCACTATGCAGTTTCTCTCCATATAAACTCAGCCATTACACCGTGAACATAAGGCTTGCGGTTCCACCCCATCTTTCTCAGCGTCTCGGCATGATCCCAATAATGGGATAGAGGTTGGAATTCTTGTTTGAGCAGGTCCCCCCTCACTCTTGAAACGTGTTGAAAACATTTGAACACTTGCCATCCAAGACTGGACCTGTGCTCCCTCGTCCAGGCAGCTATTTGAACCAGAAGGCTCGAAATCTGTTATATGATTATGTATCTGCACAAGTTGGGCTAGTTTCCACATGTGTCCATCTCACTCGAATTTTGGCCGTTAACATGTTCATTGGTTTTCTTTTTCCCACCATCGTTTCATTCCTCTTTCCACATGCCCGCCTTCCCCAGATTTCCCAGGCCTTTCGTTCAGACCCCCGATCCTATTGCGCTGGGTGGCTCATGAGCTGCACGGCAGCCCTCTCGGTCTGTGCATCGCAGGGCGTGATGGCTCGATGCAGGCGTCCAAGGTTGCCATAATCTCGGCTCCAGCAACCGTGAGGACCGTCACAGGTGGGGAGGAAGTCCAAAAACAACCCGTTTGCTCAATGGTGGATCGTCAATGTTGTCACTTGATGAGACATCAGTCTAGAATCAGCCATATTTGAAGCCTGACACTCACGTTCTCATATGTTCTTATATATAATATATATATATATATTGTTTGCATTTGTTTGCCGGGTGGGCTACCAAGGTAGAGATCGCCAAAGTGGATATGGTGACTGTGTGACTACATTTGTCAATGACAGTGAATAAGAGATTATATAATTGTCGCACATACACAGCTGGTGATCTAAAGCCCTCTAAAACTGAAACCCATTCAAGCCCATTGATGTGTGGATCGTCAGCTTTCTGGCAGCCAAGCTTGAGGGCACTCTCTTCATTCACCACTGGAAACGGATGCAAATCCAGACTATATAAATATAAACCATTTGTCCCAGCAAGCCAAATCCATCTCATATGCTTGATTTAGCTGCTAACAATGCGCAGTATAGATCATCAAACTATGTACTGTATTTAGCTGTGCTATGTATTCTTGAGCCTGTTCTTTGCTCTCGAAGGTTTTTCAGAGGAGCGATCTTCTTCCATCTTACCGTTTAGGAAAGCAAAGTCTTCAACAAGTTTGCATGCGAAAACCTAGGTGGACTCATATTTGACAAGGGGCCCAGGGGGCCTGCAAAAGCAACTGCGCGTCCAAAGCATGTGGACCTCTTGGTCTGGTGAATGCAAATGATGTCAACTCTGTCAGCATCTCAAGCCGCATACTCGGCAGCCTGTTGAAACAAACTACGACATCAACAGAAACAACCAAAGTGCCAAGGCACGGGCCATCTGTGCCACAGCCTTCACAGACCTGGACGACGCTGGGATCAAGAGATGGGACTTGACTTGACGACACCCTTCCTTCACGTGAACTGCAAGTCTCGTTGGTGCCTTCTGCCCTCCATCCATTCCCCCGCACCCCCCCAGCAAAGACTCAAATGAGGACAAGGAGCTTCCATAGCGGAATGAGGTTCCAACCAGCTTTCATCAGCTCCGTTGTAGCCTGTTGCCGGTATCCCCAAAATGCGTTTTGAGAAATCTAGTGAATCTAGTGGTCTATCTAAGCGCGAGTGTGCCTGATCAATATGGAAGCCGCTCTTTTCAGCAAAGGGTGCGAGGCAGCTCGTCTCCCCATAGCTCTGTCTGGGGCCCTCTCTCCTATCTCTCTCCCTAGTGTTGGTGGGTTCGATGATCAATTCAATTGGGTGCGGTACCGCCAAGATGGAAAGTCTCAGAATGTCAATTGCCAAGTGCTGCCAAGTGCTGCGCAACTCTCTTGCACTTTCAGGAAAAAAAGGAAAGCAAATCCCCACAAAGGCCTGAATGGCATACGGAAAGGCATGGTTGACGTAGTGAAAGCCTCGGCCAACAAACCCTTGGTCGGACAAAGTGTGTCAGCAGCTGAGGCCAAAAGATGGAGGAAACACCAACCGTGATTGGCTTGCCCAACCGGTAGAATTGTGCCAATTCTGTGTCGCAAGTCTGGCAAATTCTCCAGGGTGCTTGCATTCAACCGGGGAACTAGATAAGGCATTAAAAGACTGTAACTAGGATGATGGATAGCTTGAGAATCCCAGACTTTTGAATCAAACTGTGCTTCACACTTGTTTCCCTCTGCTCTACAGTTCCTGCCAAACATCGGGCAGGGATTCTCAGGTGAGCGCTGGGCACTTGAGAAAGGTCATTCACATGGCCAATGTGACCCACCAGGTCGGTCAACATGATGATGAAAACACCTCCGTATCGGTCCGTGTCGGTCGTGCCTATACTCATAAAAATGAGAATAGGGCTACATTCATATGGGGCTACAGTAAGATGGGCCAATAGGCTATATAGGGCTTGTTATAAGTTCTTATGTAATTTCCGGTTTGGAGTTGAGAATGTGGGACTTCTCCTCAGTATCTCAGTCAATCTTTGGTTCTCTACTTTCTCACACGCTGTGGTGCACCCGCACCCTAGAGCAAATCTTTCCAAAACGACAATACCTCACCTTGCCTCGTCCTATTTCTCCTCTGTAAAGCTAAGAATTCACTCCAAAAGTCGGCTTTCAGAAGTGGTTCATCTTCCAAACTTCTTCGCAGTTCCAGCTGTCAGAAAGTGCAAAGCAGTTCTTGAGGCTGGGCCCTAGTCGAAGATCTTCACATCGCTTTGTCGGCCTCACCCATCAATGCCCATGAAATATCCCATGTGCCTGGCACACAGCGGATAAAATCCTCGAAAGTCAAGAACTGCATCAAGGCCCTCAGTTTACCTCAGCTCTTCAGTTGGGAGTGATCCAGTGGACTGCTGCAGATCTCTCGAAACAAGCATACAATCAAACAAAACATCGATGCACCTGCCTGCACCACCGAATAAAAAAACAATATCCCCCACAAGATCCCGGAAGACTTTGTTGTGTGTGTGTGTGTGTTTTTGTACCGTGTTTTTTGTTCCAATGTCTTCTCATTTTACCGTGTGTCAGCTGCTTGCGTCCAAACCACGCGCAAATTCTGTGGTAAGATCCAGGATGTACCTGGGTCGCGACGCGTGGCCGAAGGCGTTCAGCTTGGTTCGAACCGGCCCGGGGTTCGTCATTGAAGGACGGCGCTTGTCCTACACAAAGCTGAAAGAAGCTGAAAAGGATTGAAAAGGCCAATGCCTTTGGATCCTATCAAGACTAGATAGTGACTAAAGTTTAGTGACTAAAGAGTGACTACATAAACGAAAGCCCACACTCACCATGCGGTGGATCAAATCTCCACGTCGACGGTCAAACTAGGGCCCCAGCGTGAAGGAGTACCTGTAGCAGCAAATCTGGATCGTTGCAATCCCTCCTAAGATCTCTTGGCTAGACTTTCAATCATGTGACAAGGAGCGTTTTGGCTGGCAGCTTCATCGTGCAAAGACATGCCTGCGTAATTACTTGCAGAAAACAGTATGCGACAATAAGGCGGTCGGAGTGGGTGTGTGTGTGTGTGTGACACCATGTGACACCTGTTGCTGACGAACTGGCCCGTATAAATCTTGGCTAGAATGTCCACAGCTTTCATGGGCCTCATCAAGGCCTCTCCCTAGTGTGTGATATCTTTCGAGCCCTGGAAGTTGCTGGTGCTCACCAACGCCGAGTTGCGCCAGGCAATGCGGGTGGTCTAATGGCTTTAACATATCTTGTAGCTGGCAAAAAGCATGCTTCATACCTCAAGTCCAGCCAAACACTGATGAAGCCTTTTAGCGGTGAAGCCTTTGAGCTCTCTCTGACCATTGAGCAATTGGAGGCAAGCTAAGCACATATTGAAACAATCTCTGGATTACACCAAGTACGGTTAACATTTATCAACATACTCAGCAGGCCACTGCCATCACTTCTGGTTCTTGGAAGTAGTCACTTGCTGCGAGTTTTGCCATCCTCTCTTAGGTCTGCGGGCATTCGTGTATATAAATATATTTATTTATATATGTGTGTGTGTGCCATAGCAACCCCCCCGATTCAACAGCTCTCTCCAGCCCAGAACCGAGCACCTGCCTCACCTGCGAAAGAATGAACATGCAAACATCATGGAACCTGAAAATCCAGTTCCAGGCTTCGGGCTTCACGACGCCCTCGACACCAGTCTGGGCTCCACGGCGGAGGTCGCTCACATGGCATCCACAAGTGGGTAACTCGTACTTCCAACTGCGAATCTCCATTGTGTGCAGCATCCGTTCCTGCAACGCGTGAACTGGCACTACCTGGCGCTAGTTACAGACTCAAATGCTTCAACACTGTCCTAGCCGGAAGGAATGCCCCGTGTGGTGAATACATTTTCAATGATGTGGTGTGCTTGAGGGACATCGATTCAATGTTCCTCCACCGATGAACAAGTAATCTCCCCATTCAGATCCCAAAGTTGATCTCTGAGGTCGTGCGGCAATAGCCAACGGCCCAATAGCTGTCCGTGAGGCAACAGCTTTCAAAGCTCCGCCCATCTGTCCAGCACCTTGTTACAGTCAGGTGCGGACAGCTGATGACAGCGTCCCAATCTATCCATCCCAGCGGGAATGTGGCTTTCAAATCAGGGTCCCTTTAGTCCTTTTGTGAACAGGTCAGGAACAGCACGCCAAACTTTGACATCAAATCTTTCAAAGCGGCGCCTCGTTGGGTGTGTAAGGGTATGTGCGTGTAGGTACTTGTGTAGGTGCCATATGGAAGAGGAACTACATTAAACCTGGCACAATTATATGCAGAATTATACCGCTTGGCTTAGACACTCTACCAGGTACACACCAAGCCTCCCTTGTCTCAGCCAGGCTGCAAATCAATTTTCTCCTGTGGCACCTCCCAAAGGGCGCCCAAACAGCAAAGCACGGGATGCAGGCCAGCCTGGCTGTCATCTTCAACGTTCAAAAAAAATCACCAACACCCTTCAACCTTGGATTTAAAAAAAAGCAAAACACATCATGACAGCCAGGAAACTAACAGGATGTTCAACTACCATGGTCCATGGTTTTGGGGCTCGCTTTTGACCTCCACGGCCCAATTCAACATTGTCTTATTCCACTTGCTCATCCCCCCGTGCCGGAGAGACGTCCAACCCTCGCCTCCCAACAGCTGGAGCCGCCCAGCTCCCATGGCTTCATCCCCTGCATCGTCGGCCATCTGACCTCCGAAAGTGAAATTGAAGAAAATAGCCTTTTTACACTTCATCCAGCCGTGCGGCTGAGCCAGTAGCCTGTAGAATAGAAGAAACATGAAGAAACAAATTGAAAAGGCAGTGATGCGACAAGTCGTTTCTGATCCATTTTGTCAACATGCGAGAGGAACATGCAATGTTTATCAATTTTGTGAGGCTGCCTGCCGCTACAGTCCCTTGTTTTGTTTACGGATTTGCCGACAATCTACTACATGTGACCAACGATAAATATGATATACATGGCTATACATGGCCACCATTCACTTGCACATCCCCACCTCGCATGAGACTACAACAGATCTTTATACAATCGACGTTGCTCAAATTCGCACCATCAACGGAAAGCCTAAACTGGCACAGGAGCCATCTTGAGGCCCGGAATTTGCCCATCTGAAATCAACGCTGTAAATCAAAACGCCACATGTGTGCGTCTTCTTCTGCAGCATCTGTCACAAGTGCTATGTAATACATGATGTGTGTACCCAAGCTTGAACGGTGCATTCACTTGTGCTCAATTGTTGGAGCTTCACGATCTCCCTTTGATTCTAGCCGCCAGCTACAGTCTTCGCACTCGAACTGACAAGCATCATGCCCCTCTAAGAGCGCTCATTTTTGGCTCATGTTTGCTGTCGATACCCTGATGCTGGAGCGGGGTGTTCCACAAGTCGGATGAGCGTTTGCCTCAGTGGAACACTGTCAGCCAAGTTTGCCCTAATTGCTGGGATTCACCATGTTGATTCACACTTCAAGTATATAGCTACCGAAAACTCTACCTGGCGCAATCAATCTAAGTCGTAGTTCGGCTGTGAAGAGCGGCAGGGCGTTTGGATGTGTTGATGCATCAGTGTTGTGCAGGGCGTGTGCCACCTGCCGAGTAACATCTGCTGCTGTATGCCTTCCAAGCGGAGCTGGTCACCCGTCTGCCTCAGGCACGTCGTGTTTCTGAAGCGAAACGCCAGGGGTTGCGAGGATGAAACGCCGCGACTAGTAACGAGGGCATCGCAACTAGGAGCAAGGGCGCTACTAGGGGCTCCTGGCCTTACTACTAGGAGCAAGAAGCTACTAGGACCAAGGGCATTACTATACTTACTACTAGGGGCTCCTAGTAGCGATGCCCTTTGTTCCTCAACTCAATGAACTACTCAAAAGCCATCACCGATCTTCCACGATCTTCCATGGGGTCCTCCCCAGTATGGAGCGTCAATGTCTCCTGGTGAATCATGATCCAACGCCCTTGTGAGAGGCATCCAAGAGGCCCATAAATGTTCTCCAGATTTCTCATCATGCGAAGATACAGGAGCACTGGCGTGGTCGTTGCGACAAACCTGGCCATGTAACACATTGAGATGACATCAGGCCACTCCTCTAAGCCTCGAAGTCAAACCTACTCGGTGATTGGCAAAGCATTATGTCAAAAACTCGGTGGTTGGTAAATTCCAACCAAAAATCCTTAAAGTAAATACCATGTTGGACACCTACGGGCAAAAGTGCTCACCACAACGTCGCTGATTGAAACCTCAGTGAGATCACGAGACATACTAAAGACATCGATCATTTATATAAACACTAAGACCACACCTACACAAGTTGGATTGGGTAGTAGGGAGCGTTGAAGTTTTCCACATGTTTCCACATTGGCAACCTCAACTGCCGAGGGGCTCTGATAGGTGTGGCTCAATATCCCGCATTCCTTGCAAAAGCGTGTGCAAAAAGTAGCCACGTCCCACTCAAAGGGAAGAAATACAACATCGTGGAGTTGGAGGGGGCCTACAAACTGCGCGTTCGCCACGGCTGCACACTTCATAGGGTCATAGGGCGTGCCGTGGGTATTTTGGACGAGCTGCGGGCACCCATCATTGCAAGCATATCCGTCAGAAAGGAGCAAAACTCTCCCCAGGACATCAGCTTGCCATTATCAAAGGCATCCAAATAAAGATCGTTGTTCTCGGCAGGGCCTGGCAGTGGCACGAGTCCACATCGGAAGAAGTTTGACTGATCTTGACTGGCAATAAAGCCTCCCCATATAGAGACGTTTGACAATCCAGGTAGGCTGGCTGGATTAATCAACAGCCTACAGTATGAGGAATCTATATCTTATTTTCACACCTTGGTTGATTGTCCAGCTTGTGGGTGCTTTCGACCTATCTCTACGTAGCCCGACTGTAGGACAGGGCTCACGTCCTCATTCCGGCCTTTCTATGCCTTTCTCACCTCCGGCCTTCTCCACCAGCAGGGATTCGGATGAGCACGTGCCGTGGGACATTGGCCAAAGAGTGGCACATCAGCCCACATCGCCGTGCCACGGCGGCCCAAACCTCGGACGGAACGGGGCCCGGGGCAAGGTTTGGAAACCAAGGCACCACCAGTCCCGCCGTTTTCGCCAGAGGAGCCAGAAGTTGAACGATCAAGAAGCTTCTGTTTGCACTCTCCCCAGAATATTGCACATTCTTGCAATCATTAGGCAAGATGCTACAGAGAGCGAGATTGGAATACCTTTCTTCTTCTCAAGGACTGCATGAAGCATGGAATTCTCCTCAGATTCGAAACGGGCAATGACTGCGTTACCATGTTACCTATTCAATTTACATATGCAAGTTGAAGCAAACGGGGTCAAAGGCCGTTCTACCGCCAATGTAGATCTGGCTCTCTGGATTTCACAGGAGACATCCTCCTCAACCCCTCTCTCACGCATGGCAAAGTGAAAAAAGGTGAGACGTGATTGACGTGATGTGACACAGACCTGTACGCTGCGCGACTTCTCTTGAGCTCCAAACTTGATGCCGACCGAGAGCTGGCAAAAGGAATTGCCACACTTTCGCTCGTGCTCTGTAGGAAACAAACGTCAAACACGCCATCTGTCTGAACATGGGCCAAGGTACAGGATTGTAGTAGTCCATCTGGTTTCCCTCCAGCCCAAACTCTTGGTACAAAGCTTGGTTGATGGCAAGAACCATCGACCTGACTTCCGCCTGGCAATGGCGATCCGCAGCCTCGAACCAAGCTACGGCGTCCGAAAGGACGCCGGCTTCGACCCTCCAGTGGACCGGCCAATGTAGCGATAGACATGGCTGGTCACGTGACCAGCCATGTCTATCTTGGCCATGTCATCCTCCCACCTGAACATGTCAAGTGAATGGTTCAGCCGGGCCATGTCTATCCCTGATTATCCCTGGCCCAGCCACACCACACCTGAGACGGCAGTGCAGTGCTTTGGCGCCGGGCGCCCAGCTCAGCGGCACGAAGGGCCAAGCGCTCCAGAGACGATCTCATAGCACTCACATCCGCATTGGGATAGCCCCACTGCGAGAGGATGAAGGCCTCATAGCAACGGCAAATACTGTGGACTGTGGACATGCTGCAGGAGCGAAGGAGGGCTTTTGGTGAATTCTGGTGGAACATATCAAGATGTTTCTCAACTTTCGCTGGAACCTCACTTGCAGCCTCACCAGTTAAAACAAGATACAACATGCTTGTGAAAACATTACATTCTCCAGTGGGAAGCTTTGCATGCTTCGCTTCGCTTTAAAATAGACCGACCCATTTGCCCATTCCGGCCTTAGGTTCTTGGAACATGAGCCCGGAAACCGTACGCCATGGTACATTGTGGAAAGTAGGATAAAAACAAAGACATTGATACCGATACCAATTGGCCATGATTGGCCGAATCTTCGTGGCTCAGGCCCTGCTTCCGTGCAATTGAGACACTCCTTCCTCCAGAGTGGTGGCCTGAAGGAATGCGGTGGGCTGTTGCGAGTGGCCGCGACTTTTGATGGAAGGAGAGACACCGCGACTGTTGATGAGGAGATCTGAGAGCATCTCAAAACTTCCAAGGTGTCCTTGAATCATTAGGTTGGATGACAGTTGGTAGAGGTGTTCTTGCATTGCTCAAGAGTGGAAAAATGCACGGCTAATCTTGGTACTCACTTCTTGGTATTGTTCCATGCAAGCAACATTCAATCCAACTATGCATCATGTCCGGTCTATGGCCGATGGCTCTTGGAGAGAGAAACTAACAACACGAATAGCAGCGGCCACCGCCGTCGCTGCCACGGACACGGTCAATCTGCAATCCGACATGGAACACCTATAAAGTGAGGAAAGCACCGCACACTGTAGACAGCACATACTAGAAATGCATGAATTGATAGATAGCTCACTTACATATGTCTTTTCAGGCCAAAATAATTGAATCATGATATAGAGTTTTTGGTCTTTGAATGCTCTTGTATAATAATGATGTGTTTGTATGTCTTTGACAGAAATATTGCTTGCAGGTGTTGTAGCCGACTCTGTAACAACGATCCCAAGGCCCTGGCAGCTTCGCTGGTCAGCAGCTGGGCCCAGCGTTGTTCTGCCCATCGGTTGGTGATTTGAACCCGGGCTGAGTTGGCCAGGCTTTTCAACCTGACATCGTTTGACTTCGACGTGACCAATGACCAATGGCTAGTGACAGTGACCAGTGGAATCTGTTGCCCCATCAATCCTCTTCACCTCTCCCCTTTATTCAGCATCTCTGCAGAAACTGTCCATGTGGAACCACTTGATTACGGTCTTTTGACGTCAAGGCGATGATGTTAGAAACCACTTGTCAACTTGACAAACAGAACTTGATGTTTTACAGCTACTGCAGGAATGCTGAAGAATAGCCATCAAGTATGGCACTGACGCGGAAACGGTGCACTTCCTTGCAGTAAAGCTACCGCATATCCTCCTCCTGCTCCAGCTTTAGAAGGATGTCCAAAACATTGGCACCCAGTCGGTGCATCCTCAAACAATCTACAGTATGTGAATCTGAGCGATCTGAGTTTGATGAACTGATGTTCGATCTGTGTCGATCCTGGAGCGTGTTGCCAAGTCACTGGCCAAGGATTTGCTCCTGCTCCTCCTGGGCAACGGCCTTGTGAAGAAGCTGGCAGACTTCTTTGTCCTGCCAAGTGAGGCTCCAAAACGTGACTCGTGAAAGCCACCCTAGTTACAGTCTTCGTTAATTCACAAGGGTGCTTTTCCCAGTGAGGGCTTGGACATTCTCATGGGCGCGTTTTGGGTATGTGTGTTTCTATGTTCACCAGTGATCGTGCGGCTGGCGTTTTGCTGGCTCCATGTGTCAATAAGCACAACTAAATGTTCAATTGTCGATGATCTGCCGATGGCTTGCGGCCCGGCCGGCCCCCGTGCGGCCCATCGGCACGCCGCCTAGGCCGACGGGAAAGAAGTCCTGCTTGGAGCGACTGAGGAAAAAGCCAAAAGCATTGGCATGAGCAACCCCTGCGCGATACTCCTCGACCTCAGCTAGAATTGACTTGGATAGCGATACTTGTGGAGTCCCTGTTCTCCTCTTATAGTCAACTCATGTCAACTCCACTTTCTCTTCGTTTGTACTTGGCACCATTGTGCATATCCAGATTGGGACGCTTGCCGAATGTCACCATCTTTGGAGGACCTACCCGACATACCTTAACATTTGGCCCCAAGCGCAAAAAGTGGGATGGCCCATCCCACATCCAGGCATTTGGAGTCAACAACCAATCAACCCTCCTCAACCGATCCTGGAAACTGACTAAGTCACTATGATGATCACGTCACACAATTCTAACGTGAGGCTATGTGATGATATGTGGGCATTTCTTACAGCACATCCCACTGTTCCCGCAAACATCATACCCGCTCATGCATCCACGGCACAGAGCGCTGCCACAGCCTTAATGACGCCTCATCCCGCGCGCCGGGAGCGGCGTCTGCCACCTGGAATAAGGCGCCGAAGTGCCAACGGCTGCGAGAGCATTGGATCCACACCTGCGGTCGGCATTCAACTTCATGGTGTTCCACTCGGCTGATTCGTGGAACAGGTTTCACAAAGCGCCTTCCGCAGAAGCTTCTGGGAGGCAAGGAGACATTCGTTGCCGGTGGGCGAAAGAAACTAGCTAATCAGCAGAACTAGTGGACTTGAATTTGTATCTACAGTATATGCATAACATTGTATAATTAACATTTATAAACTATATTATATATGAATCTCAACCAACCGGGGAATATTCCGCACCTGATCACTACGTGCCGCTTGACACCAGTGTCGAGCCACTGCGGCCATCGAGAGGACACCTGCGCAACGTCACGAATGCCGAAGCCATGCTGTGGGGCACCCCAGGAGCTACTAGTATATAATATAGTAATCACTCGAATCCAAAATGCTCCAATGCCAAGAGATAGAATGAACATGTGCCCACTTTCTTGCAGCCAGTCCGTGTTACAAAGATCAAAATGGCCACAAAGGAGGGTCCCATGGCCTGTCACATCGCAGTAACTGCACACCACAGGTAGAAGCGCATCCAAAACTTCTGCCATGGCACAAACAGGAAGCAACGATGCTTCGAAAATCAACCTGCTATTGAGAACAGTGGATGTTCAAAAAAGATGGTGCAACAATAATTGCATTTGCCCCACCAATGGGTCATTCACTGCACAACTCCCTACAGTAATTATTAAGCTCTTGTGGCTACCTTGCTGCCATCTACATGGACAGCCAAAACAGAAAACAGCCAGACTCAAGGTCTTCAAAGTGTGGCTGCTTGATGCTGCTTAGCACGGCGCCAGCGCCAGCGCAGTGGACACTTGTTTTCCCAGTGAAACGGCTGCGCTGCTGCGCTGCTGCGCGGCTGCCTGATGTTCGGGCCAGCTAACATTTGGGGCCTTCAGTGCCTAGCTACCTATGTGATATAACCCGTGAAGCTTCATAGCCGCCACGAAGGCCAGAGTTTTGGCCTCCTGCAACGGCTGCAGCTGCTGCGGCGGCAGCAGCCCTGGAACTCCGCCCTCTGGCTGAGCCACGCTGCGAGCCTCGATGCTTTAGTGCTGCAGGTGCATCCTTTGTACTGTCCGAACGTGGAGGAACCTTTGCCTCGCCAGCACGCTCAATGGTAGCTGGTGGTGCCACTTCTGGAGCCGTCTCTCGGGGAGATTGTTCCACTGCAGCTCTGGTAGGGCTAGGCAATCGTGGAGGGCGCTGTGCTTCAATGGCAGCACACTTGGCGCGCAGTTGGGCAAGCTCCTCCTGGGCCTCCCTCAGTTTTTCACATTGTAGGCGCCCAGCCTTGTCCTTGGACAGCACCTGCTGCCAGTTTTCCAGATGTTCCTCTTGGACCTCAATCTGGCGCTTCATGTCCATGATGCTGATCTCCATCTCCAATGCACGAATGTCAGATTCCAGTTGGAGCTCCTCCAAAGACAGTTTGGCCTCTTCTGGATCAACATCTTCCAAACCTTCTCCAGGCACCATCAGCCCATGTCGCAGGTTGAGATCTCGCACATTTAGCTAGCTTTACGAGCCATATGGGCTACATGCCACGACACCTTGACACATAAAGTCCTCCATGCCCATGACCCACCCAATCATTCCCCAATACGCGATAACAATCGATAACATATGTTGTGAGCACTATCTCTCTCTATCATTTCGATAAAACTTTTCCTAAGAGGCTGAGGCTGCAATTGAACATTCCTCCCAGCTAGGGAAAAGGCGCACCAGTACACAGGACGTCTGAGTTGCACATCAATCACCGGTGTTCAACGAAGTGACTGGAGTCCGGAGTTGAACAAATTCTTCCCCAGGTCGAACGCACCCGCAGGAGTCCAACAAACTCTTTTTTCTGGTCTACTTCCCGTTGCAATCTCAAACATCTCAGCGTGGCTGAGAGCCGGTCTCGTCCTTCGGTGAGAAAGGTGCACCTGTGCACCTCCATCTGCGACGTGGGCTTCGAAGTCCGTGCTTCGCTCAGACTCACCCAATTCTCTAGGGCTCGACTAGTGACTAGAAGATACTAGAAGCAGGTCATCAGGGTGAGCACCAAATCGGTCAGGCAGGTAGGTCTGTTACTTGATCTTGCGCCGCTGATCCTTGGAAGTCTGTCAATTGATCACGTAGCAAGTTGAGCTGCTGAATAGTAGCTGAACCATTGCTGAGCCCTTGGCCCACCGCACGCTTAGCACATAGGCCTCATCACGGCATGACCCAGGCACTGGATCTTCATCGATACTGCACCCAACTTTTGGAGACATGACTGCCAATCTGTCAGGCCCTGACGAGAATCCAGCAGGTCATGGAGCCCACAATCCTCAGGGCAAACACAAAAGGAAAAAGCACTCAGTCGGGCGAGGGCCATCCTGCAATATCCTGCAAATCCACATGTAAAACAACCCTTCATGCACCTTCATGCCTCTTCATGCCCTCAAGGACCCAGCAAACCCAACAGCTAGTACGTGGAAAGAGTGGCCTGGAAAAGTCACACTGAAGGAGATTCACTCTCCTCCTGTGTCCTCTGTGGACCTCCCGGGCGATGAACATGTGTGTTCCACCCTGCCACCGGATGTCACTGGTGTCATGGAATTTCCCACATCAATTCTCATGGCCATCGACTCCATCGACCGTCTCGGTGCTTTTCCCGTCTCGGAGCGAACCGCTCGTGTTGGGCCCCATGACCAGGCGAACTCGGTCAGGTGGCCCTGACAGGATGGGCCATGCGATGGTGGATCGAACGGACATAGCTGTGACTATATATATATATATGATCACACAGGGCTGCCTGTTGAGCATAGTCTTTCCTCTTCAGGATGGCGCTCTAGCCATCCCCTTGTTCAAGAGGCTCCATGGAACTAGGTTCTGACATCAGCATCTCAAGATTTGGTATCTGTGTTCAGGTCTCCAGCAAGAACGGTGTTAAGTCTAGCTTGTGATGACAACATGTCCTTTTTGGATTCGCCGCCGGGCCTTGGGGATCTGGCAGCTCTAGGGATTCGGTGCTCATGGCTTATGCCAATGAAATTGGTGGCTGGTCGTGCTATCGAGCTCTCGCGGTCCACATCAAGAGCAATCATCTAGATGGCGAATTTACTAAACTTTACTCACCTGTCCCGTTGATTTCACCAACCCGAAGGGATTCCAGGGGGCTCCTTCGCCACCACTCGCGCTCGGGCGGCCAGCCATTCCGGCAACTAAAGCTTCATCTCAGCCAGTTCACACTGGCAGGTCCAAGGGCATGAATTAACGCTGAATTGGCGTGCCCTGAATTGCCCGCATGCTCCATGCAGCTTCCAAATTCCCATAACTTCATAATCGTGGACAACAACTCAAGCACAACTTCATCCCGCAGCACAGCAACACGAGGCTTGGGAGGTAGATATGTCCAAAATCTTTCAAACCCGTTTCACGGTCCCCCAAAACGGCCAACAACTTCTTGCATAAACGGCTGACTTGGAGCACTTGGGGTGCAAAGTTTTAGACTCGCAGTCCGCCACCGGTGCGAACGATGGGTGGGCTTCCTCGGTAAGCCGTGGATGATGCTCGCACTATACTGCTGCTCAGCACGCTGCAGGTGCTCACTGGCGGTGAAACAGCACCCGGCGCCCCTGCCAGTGAGCTGGTTGGGTTGCTGAAGAATGACAAAGCGCGGCTCGCGGTTTGGTGTCAAAAGGGTCGGTCAAGGTATGTCAAAGCAAGGCTACATGGGGTGCAAAAGTCCGCCTTCATGATGCTACCAACACTCAGAACCTCCTGCATGTCACCCCTTCGGTGACCTTCATTGAAAAAAGACGGCATATAAAAATCTACAGGGCTGAAAGCCAACGTTCTTGTCCGACTGTTTCAAGTAGCTCAAGGTTCAAGATCCTCAAGTTTGCCTGGGGGAGGACCAGCATAGGTACGGCGGCGCTTTGTCTCCGTGCGGCCCTTGACGATCTCTCGCACCTGAGCCGATGTCCATGCTGAGCCAGCGATCCGCGCTTGAACAGCAGGGTGTTCCTGGGATTCTTCCCAGGCCCTAATGGTAACTCCCAGTATCTCCAGTTGATGCTTATTCTTGTGCCTTGGTGTCCTGCTCTCTTCCACCTTGCCCCTTGAGATTCACAACACCGGTTCCTGCTTTTCGCTAGGGTGTTCATAGCCCTGAGGCAAAGATCCGCTCTAGCTCCGTCTAGCATTGTGCTAGAGCCTGGTACCCGACGTTGCCCCGTTGCCAAGGAACTGGGGGTCCCCCAGTCTCAAAGATCTGTGCAGCACTGGTGAGCTGTGAAATGGCCTCCTGCAAGACAGAGGCCGCCTCGCGGCAGGTGCTAGCTGCGTCCTGACGGTGTATGAAGATGCATGAAGGTGTAGCAGGATGCCAAGTGTTGCGGATCTACTTGCAAACAGCTTGAGTTGCATTTCAGAGATACATAGGGATACTTGGTGCTTGAGATGATTGGAAGTTGCTGGTTTTAGCCGTTCTTTCTTCGCTGCACTGCTCCTTTGGCGCCAGGCGGCGCTTGTCCGCCGGCCAATGCATCCGCAAGGCGCTGGAGACCAAAAGCTCAGCAGCCACGGAGGGGGCTTGGAGGGTTTGAAGCTTCTGAGAGGGACGGGGTGCCACCATATTCAACACATGGGTGAGCTCCAGCAGCGGCTCTGTGCCCTCCTCTGGATCTCCTGCAAGTCACTTGTGAGCCACTTGTAGGCCTTTGAGGTCATGAACCTAAAAAGATCTTGAACAACTGACGGACGATCAAGGATGAATTAGATCGAGGACTCTTGGCCATTCTGTTTCTTGTGAATGACCCATCCCGGCTCTGATGCTATATCGACATCCAATACAGTAGCAACTTACGACCACATCTTCGAGAAAAAAATACGTCTTGGCGACAAACACCATGAATGTGGAAGATGAAGACTATGGTAGATCCTTGCTGGTTGCCAGCAATGAAAAGTTTTAAGACCCTTCAAACAGTACACTACCAAAGCTTTAGAACATGTCTGGCAGCCTCCTGATGCTGAAGCTGATGCCGTAGCTGCTGTTGCTGTAGCTGGCATTGGCCAATGGCAAAAGTGCCGGTTTTCCTGGTGCCTCTTGTCCTCCTCCTGGAAGTTCAATCAAGCTGCGCAACTTGCCATGTCTCGAGCAATTGTCTCTTTCAACTCTTGTCATATATATATATATTTATTTATTGCATTGTATAGCACCATTTATGCGGCCAATACTCCTTCGAACCTATCAAAAGAAACAACCCCATTCCAGCTAGAACAAACTGCACGGAGAAACCAAGAAAACGACTACTCAGTGACAACCTCATTGCTTAATGGGGCAACACCAACCCACCTTGTGACAACAAACTCAGTCCTTTGTCACCACAGCCACGTTGGCCCGTTGAAGATCCTCCTGATAGGATGCCAAAATGCGATGCATATCAACATATATCATATATCAACATATATCAACTATATAAAAGGATTTGAGGTGTTCACTCATTGAACCAAACCCCGGCCGCTAAGTTTTGCCACACCCGAAGGCCGCACCTTTACAACTTTCCCTTGGGATGTGGATCAACATCTGTTCAATCTGGAAATGAACCCAGCTTGCCCCCCAACTGATCCACGATTGCGGTGTCTCCTTCTTGACTCTGGGCGGCTGGCTTCTGGGTTGAGAGCTGGAGGTGGCCTGGTGGAACACAGAGTCACGGCATTCTGAATTTCAGGTGATGCGTAAATAGTTGTTGTAAACAGTTGCCGCAAACATGGTGTTCTGCAACAAACCGCTATATTCTAGGTAAAGCGTTCAAAAAGAAATAAGGGTTTGTGACTCCATCAGCTACCGATGGGCACTCCGTCAGCTACCTTGTTTGGAACCTCCATGCAGCTTTGAAAATTGCACAGCTTTTACGGAGTAGGCTGCCCACTAGAAACATAATCTGCCGCACAACGTGCCAATCTTATGTATATACATTGTATATGCCAAGTAATACATGAATAAAAACATATGTAATATGTAATTACATATTTGTGATACACGAATACCAGCCATCAACCATAGACGGCATGGCTTCTCAAATCCTGCTTGTGCAAAAATATGCAAAAATGTGCATTCGTCTAGGTCTATGACCACCGGGTCCTCCAAACATTACAACGCTTAACTATACGACAACTATCAGGAAAAAACACACATAAACACCTCTGAACAGCAAGCAAACTGCTGCTTCTGACCAAGTCTTCTTCCCTGCTATATGCACTCCTTCCTTCCATTCCTGCCACACCTTTGAACGATATACACCCCTCCAGCCCCCAAGCCGCTTCCGCCTCTCCCACGCGCGCACGCCGCGCAGGCGTTGGCAGCGCGGAGAGCACTTCAGCACCGCTGAGGCGGCGCTGCGGCTTGGGGGGGGCTGGGCGGCACGATCGCCTCCCGGTCGCGAGCATGTCGCTGGTGCCACGTGTGAAGGTCAAAGGGTGAAGGCCCAAGATCTGTATTCATAGGCTATTGGGGGGGGAGGCTTTATGCCCATGTTCTTACAAATGGGAAAAGGATGGAAAAGGACAAGGAATGCGTGGAGTGGCAATCTGTCATTCTTGTCATTTCTTCTCCCTGAGGCTGCAAGAAGCTGTATCTATTGTCACTAACGGAACACATACATACTACTCACTTCACCATATTTCACCATGTCAGTCTAAGAGGCCAAAAACAAACGTCAAGGGAAGGATGACTGCCAGCAAAGCCGGGCCTTGCCAACCAAGCTCTTCTCTTTGGGCATCTGAATCCCAGATGTCAAGGCCCGCAAATCAAAAGCGGGTGGAGGCGACCTGATCTTGTCACAATGCGAAAGCCCATGAAAGCCCTTTTGGCCTATGGCAGCCTGCCGTAACCTTTGCAAGGGTCTTGGGCTGGCACATCAAACTCATGAAAGTAAAAAACATGAACTCTTGTTGTTTTGTTATTGTTGTTTTATGACATGTCATGAACAATCCCCAAACACCACTCCGCGTCTCCGAGCCATCTCTGAGTTTTCTCAGAGCCCGACACTTCGAAGGAGCCCCGGCGCCGGTTCCACTTGTCAAGGACGATGGCATTGCCACCCATCCCGTTTTTCTCCTCCTCCTGTTGGGAAGAAAGGAGGCGGCTCTGGCAAGAAATGGCACAATCCCAAGGATATGGTAAGGCTTGGTAAGGAAATGGACTGGCCACTGCACGATTTCAAGGACCAATAATCTTCAGAAGACTCAAGATTATTGGTCTCTCGCACTCTACTAGTTCCTGTCCAATCCTTCACGAGCCAACAAACATTTTGACTAAATTCTAATTTAAATTCTAATACTAACTCTTGCTTCTGAGATTCTGGAGCCCCTAGTAGCTTCTTGTTCCTAGTAGCGATGCCAGGAGCCCCTAGTAGCGTCCTTGCTTCTCCCCCCCCCCCCCAGGAATTTCCAAGCATTCCAAGTTGCCATGGCCCATCGGTTCCGCATCGCTTCGGCGATCTCGGTCAGTGTCGACCGGTTCGACCTCGCTTCCGCTCACGGTACCGAGCGCACGGTTCCTGCACCGGTTCCGCCCGGGAACCGATCGGACGTATGGCATGGTGGGATGGCCTGTCACATGACGCAGAAGTGACAAATGCAAGTGACATAAGAGTCACTTATGTACAGTATGTATTGACTGACAAAAGTCACTTGTGTATGTGTATGTATATATACACACTTATATATATATATGTGTGTGTATAGACACTTATATGTATCATGTGATCATCATGTGTCTGACGCAACTGCGTTCGGTGACGTATCTCCACTTCGCATCTCCAAGGGGCTCAGTGAGGTGAATGGCATCCCCCAGCATCTGGGCATAGTGTCTGGGCGCACCATGGGCCAGAAGACTTAAGAGCAGCGCTGACACAGCGCTAAGCAAGGGTGGCCGACCCGAGCTGTACAACGCTTCTGGGTCATAGATGATACACATCTCCAGCAAGAAGCGAGCAAGATTACTGCAGCGCGTCTTACTTTCCTTGTCCCACGGCTCTGCGGGCGTCTCATGATGTAGTGTGTCCGCAATCAGGCGATCCAAAAGGTGATAGGACCTCAGTGCAGCTGGTTCGTACTCCCTGCAGCGTCCTCATTCCACAATTAGCCCGGCCCACATATATACTCAATATACAACCTGCACATCTTGCCGAACACGTCACCTATTCACAAGAACCTACAAATGAATCCACTCTCCACTTGAAATTGTTCAGAGGCGCGTTGGAGTGCAAGCGCGGAAGCCGAGCTTCCGCAAGATGTTCAGCTCCGCCTTTCGCACCGCGGCCCAGGGCCTGGAGCTCCCAGAGACCTCGACGACCAACTTCCGGGCGCGTTCCAAGTCCTTCTTAAAGCCGGAGACCTTCCACCAAGCTCGAGTGATATCGAGATTGTTCAGTCTGATTGGTCTGGTGCTGCCCCCGGGCTCATAATCACATCTCCATTACCTGCCGTGTCTGTCCAGGTTCCCTCTTTGCACCTTGAGGGCGATGAGCATCGCCGCCAGGACCAAAGCGAATGCCCCGGTCCCCGGCGCAATGGGCGACGTCGAGGCGGCGGCGAATCGGTCCAGCAAGCCGATGGCGGTGAAGAGCTGCTCATCTGCCTCGGGTTGAACAGTGAAGTAGATGGATGGATTCATATGGATTTCCCCCCATATGAAGATCGGGGTGTTTTACAGACTGTTTGACTGTTTTGGTGTTTGGAATACCTGCATTCTTGAGTGAAAATAGTGAAAGGTAGCGTCAGGTGGAGATCGCCTCTCCAAAACCAAAGTTTCTTTGTTTCTGAGAGGCCTAGCAGGTGGGCTTGAGACACCAAAATGCTGCCCATTGAGGCTGGGCAGCCTTGATTCTCGGATCCTGGTGTCGGGTGTGTGTTGCAGGGCTGCTACAGTAATGGAAGAATCGGAAAGAACAAGCCCAGTTTTGCTAATCTTCTCATACAGAGATCGGCAGTCTGGATTCTGGATTCTCCTTGACGAGTGCTGGAGGTATTTGGCCTTGCCCCCCCACAAGGCGCAGAATAGAAAAGGTGCCGTCTGGAACTCAAGAGTTCTTGTTCTGGAGCCCGAATAACTCCTCCTGGGCCTGGGCCTGAGGGCTACAGTATAACTTGTAGAGGCGCTATACTCCCTACTCCACTCGTTGGTCTACTTCCGCACGTATGTGTGCAACATTGTGCAAATATATTCCTTTCTTGTGCACGAGCTTTGTTCATGTCTCATCCTGGAATCACTCGTTGGGGATCGGCCTTCCAAAATCAGTCCCGATATGATATCACACATCACCCGGTATTTGTTTGCATTCCCTCTCGTCTTTGTTGGAAAACATACTCATGTGGTGACCCCCAACCACCCTCGTTGCAGTAGTAACGCACACCGATGCGTTCAACATTTGCCAATGGGCCAGGTCCAGCGCATCAAAGGCCTGCACCAGCCATTCCAAGGCATCAAGCCGGCGAGCGCTATCCAGGCCATGGGATAAGCTCTGATGGCCTGGGATGGATGGTGGTCTGGATGGCCAAAAGGCCGGAGATGTTGTTGTCTCTCAGGGACCCCATCGCACCCGTGGATTTGTTGAGTTTGTGTTTTCCCCACTTGGGGCGCATCACCAAAGGGCTTGGACCTATATATATATATATATGTTTTAACCTTACAAACACATAACAACTGCTTGATGGCATGTGAGAAACAGCAACAAAGCTTTCATCATGCATACCCCCTTCAATCACCCTAAATGCTGAAACGTGTGCTTCGTCATTGCCTACCCAGTCGCTCAAGTTCAAGGGAGATGACCGTTTGTGAAGGGCTGCCAGTGAAATCGCCACAGGGGGCGACTCTGCTAAGGGTGACTCGCTATGAGCGTTCTCCGTCTCTCCGGTATCGGCTTTGCTGAACCGCTTTTCGGTCGCCATGGGTTGGGGCAATCGCATGCCCCACGGCCAAATAGCTGCGACATCCAAATCCAAAAGAGACCTCAACATGACATGATTACATCGAATGAATGACAAGGTCAGTACTATAATGTAAAGCACTGCACATGTCAACGTCAGTGGAACCGACCTCATGTTGTGCCAGCCAAATACCCAAAGAGAGCAGCACTGCCAAAATACCTCCGGCCACGGGACGCTAAAAAGAGCATCGTGAAACCAGGGACCCATGACAGCGCAGCCCATCTGCCGACAGATTTGTCCAACTGGATCAAAACGCATCTTTAAACATTGTCGCGGCCGTGTTTTGTCCGTGGCAGTGCCAATCACGCTGAAATCATATTGCAAATGATGCCCATAATGTTGTCAATACTTGTTGCGTCGCAATTTGTTAGGCGGCACCGAAAGCATAGCCCTGCTGGTGTTTCCCACCTGCCACTGGTTTTCTGGCCAACCATAGCCCATCCGTCAGGTCTTTCCACCTTAAGCGGTGCGATTCAGCTGATGGCTTATGCACAAAACAAAACTGCCAAGAAGCAAAATATACATATAGAGACTGTACGGCCATTCTCTGCGGACAAAATCATCGGAATCATAGGAATGGTTCCAATAATCCAATAACCGAAGAACCAAACACAAAGCCCCCTAGTATTGAGTTATTGAGTGGCGGTTGCCTGCAGGACCAACGATAACCCTGATCTCTCTCCCCTCTCTCTCCCTCTTGCTGCCGAGCTGCACACCAGGAATACTTGAGGCTTTGCAACTGCGGGCGTGCACAAACGCAGCAAGAGGCTTGGCTAGAGGTGTTATATTTTAATATGATTGAGTTTAATCAATATGTCTTTTCAAGTCATCCGGTCTGCTGACCCTGTGCATTTGGAGGCACGCTGTTCCAGCAAGAGCCACCCACTCCACTCCCGAATATGGAAAATGCAAGAGCCACAGAGCCACACACTCCGTTCCTGTCTACGGACTCCAAAGACTTTGGCGAAGGTTTGCACCTTGGCTTTAGCATGAGCCGCTTGAGCTTCTTCTGAAGCCTTTGACCTGACAAGACAGCCACTCAGGCTTTTGCACAAGTTCCCCTGAGCAGCACCACTATCTTTGAACTTGCTTGCTCTTGCGCATGCATACAGGGCAGCCCATACCACGCATACAAAGCTAGCAACGCCTCTATGTTGGCACTCCTGCCCCAAGGGATTATTTTGTCAAGATACATCTAGACTCTAGAAAGTCACAGGACTCAGAACTTCTTGGCATCAATATTCAACACGATCCAGCATAGACTTCTGCTTCAAAAGCAGTCCGAGGTTCTGCAGGGGTGAGCAAGTTAAAAGCCATGACGTACAAGTAGCGCACAAGTAGAAAGAGTACGACAAACAATTTCGTGGCCACCAGCCACTGCACAATTGCCTTGCCTTGCACTCCTTGGGCTGCTCATCAGCGGATGATAACGATCCGCCACGGAGGTATTGCTGTGCGCGTCTGTTCATGGAACACTCGTGATACTTGCGGCCAGTGCGCCGTGTAATCCTCTTCAGGTTTTCAATGGTTTTCATGTTGCTTGTCTTGAGCCAGCAGAAGTAAGCAACACAACACCAACCAACATTGCACAACAAGCCGTGAAGTGCCCCTTGCAAGTATACAGTATACCCGCCAAAAAAAAACAGAGTTCCAATAAGGAGCCCAATGCTGGCTTCTTGCAGCAAACTCCACCTCGTCTGCTCCGACATGCTCACGCTCCACCTGCTCACGCTCGCTGTTGTTTCCTTCCGATCGGTTTTTCTCAGCGACCATCCTGGCAAGATTCTTTGGTGGAAGACAATTTTCAGGGCTCCAGCAGAAGTTAAGGCTTTGAAGCTGCATGCTGATGCTGCTGCTATTATAACAGTCCCCTCAACCAGCACCAAGCGGGACACAACTGCGGAAGAGGCACTTCGCAACTGCTTCACTGAATGCAATGCCGAACTTGGGCAGATCCAGGAAGATATCCTAGGCTGCCCGCTGGAGAGGCATTAGACGGCAATAGACTCTCAGTGGGTGCTCAGCAAACGGACCGAAACCCCAAAAACAACACAAACTCTTAAAATTCTGAAGGGTTGCGGGTTCGCTTTTCGGGCATTTGAGGGGATGGACTAAGACCCAGCGCCACAAGGTGCCGACCACAAACCCTTTAAAAACACGCCAATGAACGGACAGGTCCAGCACCCTCACTGTACAGGAGCAGACCAACTGTCCTGCTATCCACCAGCAGTCGTAACAACCTGGTGCTGCTGAAGTTTCAAGCGTTTGAAATGCCAAGTGATTGCTCCGCTCCTCGCACAGAAGAGGCTGCCCATTTGGGCCAATGAGCACCAGGGGGCTGTGCCGGGAGAGGCTCTTGTGCTTCGGTTGGCTGTACACTTTGAATGCAAAGTAAAGGACCAAACGAGACCAATTGGTAGCCACTTCCCACGTTTGAGATCCCTCTTTCGGTCCTCATCCAGGCTGAGCTGGAAGTGTCCCAAGGTGCCTTCTGGAGGAAGTGCCCCGCGCACCACCACGTGCCTGAGACCACGTGGACATTTATGACCCCCTAGGTAAGTACAAGCTTGGATCAATGGTGACCATGCAAAGTGAATGGGACGAGATGGGACGAGTTCTCTGGAGCAAGGTCATCGCTCTCATCTGAAATTTCAACTCTAAAAAAAACAAAGGACTGAACTCGAGCACGCTCCAGGATCCGCCCTTGCCGTGTCTTTCAATTCGCAAACTGCCCATGGAGCCTCAAGGGGCGTAAGTTCTCGTACTCCAGGGAACCCGAATTGCTCCAGTGTGGCGTAGATAGATCCTCACACGATCACCGGCACCTCCCACTTGGGCCGTTGTGATTGAAGCAGGCAGATTCCGAGGCCGTGTCAAGTCATAAAAACAATGCGGGTGATTGGGTCTTGAGTCTTCAGAAGCAGGTCAACATGTCCCAGGCGATCCACTCCAAGTCTACCTGCACAGCCCAACAGTGCACCAGCTGGCTACTGGTCTAGTGGCCCTGCGAGCCACTCCCGAATGAGGGCGCAAGTGGATATGAGCAGAAAACATAATATAATATATATATACATAATCATGTGGTTATAGTTACAAGTTATCGCCTTTGGGGGGCCCTGCGGAACTGCACCCTCCGCACTAAAGCTCAACCTGAGAAGAGGGAAACACTAAAGGTAGGACAGCGGGAAGAGAATGGAGCATGTAAAACAGGCATTGAAACGGCGGTGGGAGTAAAACGGTGGTTGGTGTAAGCCGCGCAGGGGGGTTGGTGTAAAACGTGGTTTGGGAGTAACGGTGGTTGGTGTACGACGACCGCGCAGGTGCGTCAACAGTGGTATAAAACGTGATTTGGTGTAAACGGTGGTTGGTGTAAATAACATGGTTTCAAAGCTACATCCGATGCGCAACAGCAGCACGTCCAGATTCAAGCTGTTGCAGTGGAGGCGCCGCGCGAACCCAGATCTGAGCCGCCGTTGTGCCGAGCTTTTGTTGACTCACGGTCCACGTTGTCGCTATGCTGGCAAGGGGGTTGAACTGAACTATCAATCAATTATTAGACCCGGCGGAGCCCACACTTGCTTCGCAAGACAAACTCAAGGTTTTCTGGGGGGCTACCTTTCGTGATATAGACTGTTTGCATCACCTGTCCACAGCAGAATTCTTTTCATTTCATATCCTTTTGATTCCTTCTGTTGGAATCCTGAGCCAAACTCCTGGGAAATGTATTGGCTGGAGGTACTTCCTATTCAGCCTCCCTCAATTGGTTGGTAGCAGGGCCTGGACGCATCAACGCCCCAACCGTATTACGCAAAACGCTGCTTGTCCGCTTGTTTGTTTGTGTGAATTTGCACTGAAACGTAGCCATGACAACAACATGAACCACCCTCGACAACAAGGCACGCAACCGTGACTGTGAGACCCGTGGCTCAAAGAAGACCCCAACCTCTGCGAACACTGCAACCTCTGTGGCCTCAAAAAGGTGCCACCAAGGCTCGATGCTTCTCTGCTCGAGAAACCTCGACGTTGAACAGGCAACATGTTTTGACATATCATTAGTAGTCTCTTGCTTCTAGTACTAATTGCCCGTCTTACTAGTAGATTTTTGCTACTATATATATATATATATATTAGCGATGCCCTTGTTACTAATTGCACTTGTTACTAGTAGCTTCTTGCTGCTACTAGCGATGCCCTTGCTACTACTAGAGATGCCCTTGTCACTAATTGCACTTGTTACTAGTAGCTTCTTGCTGCTACTAGCGATGCACTTGTTACTAATTGCACTTGTTACTATGCTTTCTTGCTACTACTAGCGATGCCCTTGATACTAATTGCACTTGTTACCAGTAGCTCATGGCTGCTACTAGCGATGCCCTTGCTGTAATTCTAGCGATGCCCTTGTTACTCATTGCACTTGTTACTAGTAGCTTCTTGCTACAACTAGCGATGCCCTTGTTGCTAATTGCCCTTGTTACTAGTAGCTTCTTGCTACTACTAGCGATGCCCATGTTACTAAAAGCACTTGTTACTAGTAGCTTCTGGCTACTACTAGCGATGCCCTTGATACTAAGTGCACGTCTTACTAGTAGCTTCTTGCCACTACTTACTAGCGATACCCTTGTTACTAATTGCACTTGTTACTAGTAGCCTCTTGCTACTACCAGCGATGCCATTCTTAGTAGTTGCTCTCATCTCTAGTGGCTTCTTGCTACTACTAGCGATGCCCTTGTTACTAATTGCACTTGTTGCTAGTAGCTTCTTGCAACTACTACGGATGCTCTTGTTCTAATTGGACTTGTTGCTAGTAGCTTCTTGAGACTACTAGCGATGCCCTTGTTACTAATTGCACTTGTTACTACTAGTGATGCCCTTGTTACTATTTGCACTTCTTACTAGTACTAGAAGCTTCTTGCTACTACTAGCGATGCCCTTTGTTACTAGTAGCTTCGTGCTACTACCACGCATGGCCTTGTTACTAGTGGCTTCTTATTACAAGTAGTATTGCACTTGTTGCTAGTAGCTTCCTGCTACTACTAGCGATGCCCTTGTTACTAGTAGCTTCTTGTTTCTAGTAGTTTTACACTTGTTACTTACTAGTAGCATCCTTGCCACTACTAGCGATGCCCTTGGTACTGGTAGCTTCATGTTACTAGTAGCAATGCACGGTTTACTAGTAGCGGTGCCCTTGTTACTATAGCTTTCTGTTACTAATAGTAATGCACCTGTTACTACTAGCGGTGCCCCTGTTACTAGTAGTAGTGCACTTGATACTAGTAGCGTTCTTGCTACTACTAGTAGTATTGCATTTGTTACTAGTAGCGTCTTTGCGACTACTAGCGATGCCCTTGTTACTACTAGTAATGCACATGTTACTGGTAGCGTCCTTGCTACTACTAGCTAATTATGCCCTTGTTACTAGTAGCTTCTTGTTACAGTATTTACTAGTAGTGCGGCACTTATTGTTACTAGTAGCGTCCTTGCTTCTACTAGCGATGCCCTTGTTACTAGTAGCTGTTTGTTACTAGTAGTATTGCACTTGTTACTAGTCGCTTCTTGTTACTAGTAGTAACCTTGCTACTACCAGCGATGCCCTTGTTGCTAGTAGCTTCTTGTTCCTAGTAGTGCTGCACTTGCTACTAGTAGCTTCTTTCTACTACTCGCAAATCAGAACTTCGATGCTAGCAGCTTCTTGTTATTAGTAGTATTGCACTTGTTACTAGTAGCGGCAGCGTCTTTGCTGCCAGTAGCGATGCCCTTGTTACTAGTAGTATATAATGCACTTGTTACTAGTAGCGATGTCCTTGTTACTAGGAGTTATGCACTTGTTACTAGTAGCGTCCTTGCTAGTACTAGCGATGCCCTTGTTGCTAATAGCTTCTTGTTACTAGTAGTTAACAGTTATGCACTTGTAACTAGTAGTTTCATGTTACTAGTGGTAATGCACTTGTTGCTAGTAGCTTCTTGCTACTACTAGCTAATTATGCTCTTGTTACTCGTAGTAATTAGTAGCGTCTTTGCTACTAGTAGCTTTGCTAGTAGTGTTGGACGAACAACACGCAACATCGACTCTTAGGCCATCAGCCAAGCTAGAAACGTTGACTGGCCAACCGCCATCAAGCTGCCACATGTGGACATGGGGCGTCAGCCACACCACGCAAGAGTTGGGCGCCATAAAGATCGGCCACCACATCCTCATGGTACGAAGAACGGGCAGCTGTCCCGGAGCCAGGGCCAACCTGGTTTTGCGCCTAGGACCTTATGTCTTATGTGGCACTCAGACTGCGGGTGGTTTCCTGAAGCCCTGTCAAGCAGGTTTCCCCCATGCAGCGGTGTCGCTGTGCAGATCCAACTCAGCTGAGACTCCCTGAGCCATAGCTGCCAATAAAAATGTCTGCCAGTTTTGCCACAGCAATTTCCTCACCTCGGTGAGGAGAAAGAAGCCAGCCGCAAAAGGATCCGAACCCTTCGAAAGGATCCGCACCTTCAGAAGCTGTGCCCCCCACAAAAAGGAAACACACACATACACAAAACACACACACAGAGACACACACGCAGGCGCCAGGGTGTATGTATATTGTTCCATGGTCCATGTTGTGATTCATACTGAAACACAACAACGTCACCTCTTGCAGTTTTCTCTTGCTCGCTGTTCTCAGGAAGTGATGATCAGCTGCATGCAACAAATATGCCATCTTGGTCAACACTTTGGTCAGCCAGCGCCGCTCGAACACATGAGCTACACACGTGCGGCCCTGCAATGCTCCTATTTGGCAATTTCGGCAGCGGCGTCAAGTGACCACAGAGAGAGGCGCCGCTAGCAGTTGCCCCTCCCACCACCTCCCCGCCGGAAATCGCATTGTTTCCACTCGACCCCAGACATCACTAAGCTGTTGCGCAAAGTTTGCCTTTCAACATCGAGCCCTTCCAGCACTTCCAAGTGGCCATAATCAGCTGGTCTTGGGAATATTGATTTTGTGGTGGCTCAAGCATGCTCAAGCTCCATCCAGGATTCTCTTGCCTATGCCGCTGAAGGTTGAAAATCCAACGTCAACAACTGCAGAGCAGGGTCACAAAAGAATCGTCAAGCAACTCTGGCACCCTCTTTCCATCGCTTTCCATCCTCTCCCAACAGATTTCCACCGAAATCTGAAGACCTGAACTTGAAGTGGCAGGAGGTGCTATGACAAGCTTCTATCTTTCAGATATGGGCGCATCTGCTCAGCTCATCTCAACGTTGAACCCCGGACTCGTCCACAAAAGGTTCAAATCGACTTCACTTGTTGGAATCTGCAGGTCAACACAGCAGACTTCAGCGCTGCACGAGCAGGAGCAAATGACGGAACTGTTGGCAATCTTTTGGCACCACAAGATGGCAACGAAAACCAGCACTTGTCTCTTTGGCTCGCCTCCTCACCTGGACCAAGTCTGGGCGACCATTCTCCAGAAGGCATGACAACTACAGGCAATGCAAGTGTGCTTGCGACAACGCTTAATCCTTCCAGGGAACTGGGTAGAACAAAACGGCCTCCAAAACTCCTAGACACCTTGGACTGCGAAACCATCTAATGTTTAATTCGTACTAGGTAGGCGATGCAACTTAATAAAACACAACGCTTCAAGAAAACCCGGGCCCAAAATCTCACCCAGAAAGCGTCAAACATCAATTATAGACCCTTTCCGTATTCTGAGTCCTTGCTTGCTCTGCGATGTTTTTCTCTACATTTCCATTTAAACATCTTCTCGCAAATCCCACATTTTCGAACATCCCAAACATGCAGGTGTTTGATTACCCCTTACCCTTTGTTGAGATTCCGTATTCCAACATGAATAGCTTCCCCTCAACAATCTTGCAAAGGGTATCCTTTACAAGTGCCCAGGATGCGCAATATAAATATACACTTATAGACCTTCCTTTTCCGGTTTCTGATTTGATTTGGAACGCCTTCCATGTCTATTTCAAAACCTTCTTGCAAATCCAACATCTTCCAACATCTAGGCATTTAGATATATATATATATATGTAATCAAAAGCTCTGAAGCAACATGAAATCAAACGAAAGCAACATGAAAGCCAATGAAATGAACTCCAGAAGAGATTTACACAGTGCATACAGACTCTGAAAGCCTTCCAACAACAAAGTTGGAGACGTTGCCCCATGCTTCTACCGAAATTGGAGACGTTGTCCCTTCTAAATGCATACAGTAGTTGCGGTGGGCTCCGCACTCCCACCAGCAAACTGCTGAGGAAAGCGCCCCTCAAAGGCCCCAAATTTACTTCGTGTTGCCGATGCCTGCAGGCCAGGTTGCCCCCCGCCCCCCCCCAAAAAAAAATATTGGCTTTGCCTGCTTGGTCCTAATTCATGCAGCCCCCCCCGGAATTTTTGAACAATCCGGCCCCCAACAGGCTACAGCATTTCCGTACCAACACCACCGGACGGAGGTGTGCCCCAAAACAGGACATGAGTTGGAAACAGCATAGCGGCATAGCGCTACAAAACCGGACCAGGAGTTATGAAATGAGTAGACCTTAGCCCTTAGCAATGTTTAGTGGGTACCTGTTCCACAATGCTTCACAGCTTAATTCGTTACTTGTGATTTAGGTCGCTCAACATGAACAGTCCCAACAAGAAGAAAACTCAGTCTTTTTGAGGCTCGGCTCTCAAGGATCAGGGGTCAGAACTGCTCAAATCTTTTGGGGTGCATGCTTTGAGTGCATTCCCCCTTTGCACCCCAAACATTTATTTTGTTATGACTCACAGTGCTGCGAAAGCACCGGAGCACTTCGGCCTCTTGACGATTGAATTGGCCTTTTCTTTGGCATTTTTGGGACCTGTTCACCGACCTGCCAATCACATGTCACCATCGGCTTGGCCCTGTCGGCTAGATGGGGCAACGTGTCCTTTTCACCAGCAAGATTGTAGGGGTGTTGGCTTTGGTCAACGCTCCTCCCATGCAGCTCATCTGCTCATCCGCGGTTTCTGGGAAAGATATGGTTTCTGAAGCAAGAGGAGCCCACTGTTTGCTACCAAGGGATTTGTGACTTGCAGCCCCAAGGGTTTCAGGCAGCTGCAGAAAGAATGAACGAAGTTGTGCAGCTTACGTTGCAAAGCGCAATCGGTCAGGTCTCCTTACAAAGCTTGCGCAGTTCTTCTACATTCTCACCGGCAATCTTTCCAAGGTTGTAAAATCTTTAGTCAAAGCCTAAAGCCTTTGAACAAGAACATGATTTGGAGAAATGCCCACATGATCTTTTCTTTAGTCTCTGATATATGTATATGTGTTTTTTGTCGACACTGGTGCCTACATGATTTCATGTGCTTTGGTCATCATGGGCTTTCTAGCCGAGTTGTTGCTCAACCTTGATCCAAAAATTAGTCCGTGACAAGTGACCCAGTGAAAGCTTCTCCATCTCAATCGTGGCCACCCTCACCTGGCAAATGCAAAGTGGTGCATGCCCTGGAAAACTCTAGCCACACCAAATCAAAGCGTTGAAGAGATCTCCAAAAAAACGTCACAAAACCATCTCATACCACTTCCATCAACCCGAAACTGCAATCTCACACTGAGCATCTGCTAGCCGAACATGCTCATCAATTGTCATCAAATTGTGTGTTCTGTCTCTCCTTGAAGCGAACGACCCCCGGTCGATTCGCATGAATCGGATCCATCAAGTTAGCTGAATCGGACCGGCGATTGGACCCGCCCATGCGACACCAGGACCCCCCCAACACCTCATTGGCTGGATATGTCTGGGATATCCAAGTCCTTGGCGAGTCCGGGTTCGGAAGGGCCGTGGCCACGTGATGTCACGTGATGTCACCGGAGGGTGCCAACATCAACGAACACCAAAACACTCTCAGCGCGGGGGATGATTCTCCAACTTCTTCACAAACATCTCTGATTGAAAGGCCACCTGGCACAAAAGCAAACATTGAACAACACCTATTCACATCTGTTCACTGGCCATCTATGCAACACCTTCACGCCGGTGCCAAGTGTCAGCGCATCCGCTAGGTTCACCAAGCTCCGGCGCCCATGCGCCGCTTGGCCCCGGCGAACGATCAGCACCTCGAGTGTTGGCAACTCCGATGGCTATGCTATCAAGTTGAAACAACCTGGCATGCAGGAAGGGGGCCCATCTTGGCAAAATGTTGCACTGGAAATAAGAACCAAAATCCACTCCGAAATCATACAAGTTTGTCCTGCAAGACTTCCTTTGATACCGGTATATCAGGTCACCAGCGAACGGGCCAGGGAGCGGAAGAGTCCACCGGTCCGAGTTCGGACGAATCAAAAGGAATGTGAGTTCGTGTGAGATGCGCGATGGGGCGGTCTGATGTCTCGTTGAAGTCATGATACTCATGAGGTCTGGGTTGTGAGGTTCTCTGGGATGTGATGAAATGCAACAGGGTGAGTTCTGTAAAGAAGCACATGTCTGAAGTGGAATGTGATATGGCGGGTGGTGTTTTGTGAAGTGGTGTGAGATCATGTGCTATATGCCTCGTTGTTTGTGAATGCACGATGAAATGACGTGTGGTAGAGCGTATGGGGGGTATGACCACGATGAGGTGAAGATTGGCAGGGGTGTCAAATGTGTGGTGTGTGCAGCCATTTGCAATGCGGCGATGATGATGATGATGATGATGATGATGTGGTTGTGTGGTGGTTTGGGGTGTGGCGATCTCAAAGGTGACCTTGCCAACGCTGGCCTTGCGATGCAATGAAGTTCTGCGGGAGTATGACCAAAGTGGACATATGTGATGAGGTGTACTGCAGTGATGCGTTTCATTTTGTTTAATAAGTGTGCCATCTTTCGCGAACTGGTCTTCACGCAGGCACATAAGCCAGCATAAACACAGACAAATGCAAAATCGTGTGACCCTTTTGACACCCTTGAGTTTGCCGTGCCGACAACCACAGATATCACGAGCTCCCTCCCACAGACCTCGCGGTACAACTTCCAACAGTCAACCTGGGAGTAGCTCTGTCAATAGTTAAGCAAACATCCCCCAAAGTGGAGAGGATTCGAGCGTAGCAACACAACCTCCAAACGGAAAGCTCGGCTTTCGCCCCATCTCCTGGATAACAGCCAAAAACATCTCCGTGTAAATTGAAACAGTTCAAGCGGCACAGATTCGCGGACACCTATGAAGGCTCAACGAAGAGCACTACAATCTGCACAACATCTCAGGCTCTACCTTTCTGCCACTCTTGGGAAGTTCTCCCCCTATGCATGACGTCATGAATTATGCTGCACACTGGTTGAGACACCATCCTGAGGATCAATCCAATGCAAAATTACAAGAATCGAGGCTTCGATGATTAGCAACGGCCAATGTGGAGAACAACTCACAAGTTTTGACGGGAGTGTGGAATTATGTATCTAACCAGGTCTGGACGTTCCAGCCGGTGATGGCCTCATCCGCCTCTGACTCATACCCAGTCTTTGAATATTGTTGTGCCAAAACCAGCGGAGAGCCCCAAGTATATAGAAAGCAGTTGTCGTCTTTTACTCCTAACCCGCCACAAACATATGAGCCTTTAAGAGCATTATGACGTCGATCACACGGTGCCCACTCGCCAAGTGCCACCCAAGGCGCCCGCACGCAGCGGGCCTGTCGCCGCACACAGGGATCGGCCAGTGGATCAAAACCATCGTGCCCCCAAACATCGTGTAGGACCTCCTTGGACAGGCGGAGTTTGGGTCAGTTGCACTAGCTACTTCATGCTACTTGCAAGGACTGCAAATATTTATGAGCATTTGCAATGATTTGCACGGATTTGCAAGCTGACCGTTTCACAAAAGAGTGGGTGAACGTTCCTTGTAGGTTGGACCAACCTGCTGATCTGTTGGACTGCTGGGACCCCGAGACAAGCGCTTTGAGTGTCACCAGCATGTGCTTCATGTGTTTGGACTCCATTGCACTCCACGGCTCTTCTTCAGATCTCCCTGGCCACGGAAAGCTGGACGCCACCTGCATGGCACAGGCTTGTGCATGGGCAGCTAGGGGCCCCCAATCATCATACACCCAGTTGATTGGGTCTGCCGACCCATGCCCATAATTGTATACCTAGAACCTGATTGACCCCTGTTGTGGATCATAAACATGGTCTTTTCCTATCAAAACAAAGGTCAAATGGGTTCTAGGTGTACATACATATGAAAAAGCAGTGTCCAGTGTATGATAGAAGACCGCCACCGGAGGCAACCACGGCTCGAGGCTGAGCGACAAAGGTGCGCCTATGAGGTTTTGGGTAGGTTCCCTAGTGGTGGCACTTTAGGTGCCTAGTTTTCACATTGGTAGCGGAGCCACCTGCTTAAGTGCGGGTGGTATCCGGGGTAGTGTAGGTTCTAGGAAGAACTGAAGCACTGAAAAGCAGTGTCATAGCTAGAGCCATGGCCACCTCCGATGGGTATGGGGGACAGCGCAGGTTCAGTGGGGAATCACTGGATCCGCAAGAGTACGGGCGATGGCGATTGTGGGCTTTAGCTAAGATGGCATCCATGAAGGACTTGGCTTCGACCCAGAGAGGACCATATGTGTTTTGTTTGTTGGACGGACTCGCCCTCGAGACAGTGGAGCATTTGACATTAGACAAGATGAGGGAGGAGAACGGTGACAAACATCTCTGGCAGTGTTTGGACGAGAGATTCCCAGACAAGCTGGCTCATGACCATATGGCAGAATGCCTCAAAGAAGTGTTCGAGTTACATGCTCAGGATGGTGAAACCACAGCGGCATGGTGCTCACGGGTCCAGGAGGCCTTCGCGAAGTGTCGAAGAAAAGTCCAAGTGGATTTTCCCCCCCGAAGCACGGGGTTGGGTGTGCTTGAACAACTCCGGCCTTTCTGCTGACCAGCGGGCCATTGTGACCGCAAAGACGCAAGGTGACTTGAAGATGGAGACCATCATGCCTGCAATGAGGAGCTGTTTTCCGGACTTCAAAGCAGGCAAGCGGCATCCCAAGAGTGTTTCTGCTTACGTTGTACAGCACGATGAGACAGAGGATGAACCGGAGACGGGGCTGGCCTTTGAGGCCGATGGGCCCGACAGTGTTGTATTTGATGAGGTGGAGGCATTTTTGACAGAGCATGGTTTCCAGGATACAGGTTCATTGTCTTCGACGTCGGAGGTTTTTGATGAATCTGAAGTGGCTGAAGTGTTGGCCGCCACCTGGCGAGAGAAGAGGACAGAGATCTCAAAGCTGCAGAAGGCAAGGAAGTTCAAGCAGGCGACATTGATGAAGAAACAATTCTCGAAGGACCTGACCGACATCCAGAAGCGCTCCAGGTGCAGGAAATGCGGACAGATCGGGCATTGGGCCCGTAGCTGCCCACAGAACACAAGTGTTGCAAGCCGGAGCGACAAAGAAAAGGTCAGTGGAGCGGCGATGGTGACTGAGGAGGTCTATTTGGTCTCCTCGCCGGGTTATGGGATCATCGACTCGGGCTGCAGCAGGACTCTCATTGGACAGCAGACACTGGGCGATTTTATGCGCATGTATCAAGAGCGAAAGATGTCTGTGCCGGAGAGTCGACCACAGCAGAACTTGTTCAGGTTCGGCAACGGCCAAGAGGAGTTGTCTGAGCGGGTGGTCTCCATGCCGGTGGTCATCCATGGACAGTCTGGCCGCATTGAAGCGGCAGTGATCAAGGGCAATGCACCCCTGCTCCTGTCGAGAAACACTCTCAAGAGCTTAGGAGCACGGTTGGACTTCGCTGCAGAAACTGTCGAGCTTCAGGGTGGACCTCCACGAGCGCTGCAGACCAATTTGGCAGGACAATTTGTCCTAGATGTGTTGGACAGTCAGGGGACAGAGACTTTGTTTGTTGCAGACGACACTCAGGGTCAAGCATCAGACAGCGATTCACTAGGTGAACAGGCTGAAGCATTGGAGCAGGACACAACATCGTTCATGCAGGGGCCAACCAGAGCTCTGACTCGTCGTGAACACCGTTGTTTGATGGCTCACCACGAGACTTGGTCCAAGGAGAAGAAGAGCACATGTGCAGTGGCCGAGCTGTTTTCTCCTCCACGCTTCGCTGAGCTGGCAGAGGCCCGGGGAGAAAAAGGTTTGTCGTTTGACATCAAACAGGGTTGGAATTTGTTGGACACCAAAACACAGAGGCAAGTCAATGAGCAGTTGGAGGAAGCTTCTCCTGAGTTGTTGGTGTGCTGTCCAGAGTGCAAACACTGGGGCGGCTGGTACCGCTTGAACAAACACAAGCTTTCACTGTTTGAGCAGTTGCACAACCAACGAATCGCTCAGAGACAAGCGGATTTTTTGTGTTGCACAGATCAAACGCCAACTGAAACGAGGTGGTAGGGTGCTGGTAGAACATCCCTGGTCGAGCGACCTTTGGAAGTATCCTCCGATGCGCAAGTTGATGCAGGCCGGTCTGTTGACAGTGCACAGAGCAGATATGTGTGCCTACGGCCTGGTCGATCCTGAGAACCATTTGCCGGTGTTGAAGCCTACTGGTCTGGCAGTGTCCCACTCCGACATGGCATCACTGGTGAAAGAGTGTCCAGGACATTCCGAGCATCAGAGCATCGTGGGTCATGTTCGTTCCGGTCAGTGTAGGAGTTCCATTGCCGCAGAATATACAAAACAGTTTGTCAGGGTATGGTACTCGTGCATTAGGCCTCAGGAACAGCTGTGTGCGTTCGTTGCCGTGCAGGACCCATCGAGTGATTCGCTGGGCAGTGAGACTCAAATTCAGGAAGTCCTCGCTGCCGAGGTTCAAGATCCCCAGAGGGTAAAGGTCCTGTTGAAGAAATTGCACAACAATCTAGGTCATCCATCGACCCGGACTCTCGTTAGGATTCTGAAGCATGCAGGAGGGTCCGAACAAGCTCTCAAAGAAGCTGAACAAGTAGAGGGACAGTGCGACATTTGCCAACAAAGACAGAGACCGACTCCAGCACTTCCGACAAGTCCGGAGAAACCGATTGATTTCAACCATAGAGTGGGTTGGGACGTCAAGAATCTACCAGGCTGGCAGGTCAATCAGAAGGTCAAGTGTGTGAATCTGATAGATTTTGCGACCAGTTTCCAGGTAATGGTTCCGTTTTCGAGAAAGAAACGAGTGAGGTTCTGAGAAAAACTTTCCAGGAAGCTTGGCAGCGGTGGGCTGGACCACCAGTCGAGGTCATCACCGATCCGGCTCGCACGAATCAAGCGGAATCTGTGTTTCAGCAGCTCGAACGAGATGGCATTCGCATCATATCTAGTGCAGCGGAGGCCCATTCGCAGCTAGGTAAGGTAGAAAAACATGGACACCTGTTCGAAGTCATTCTCCAAAAAGTGTTAGATCAAGTGCAACCAAGAGATCGACAGGAGTATGAACAGTGCATCGTGCAGACAATGAATGCCAAGAACGAATTGCTGAATCAACACGGTCTTTCGCCATGCCAATTGGTGTTCGGACGCAATCCCCGAGTCCCCGGGGACTTGCTGCAAGAGTGGCCGTGTCCGGTGTCAGGTACAGCTTCCTTGACAGACGACGCAGTAGCTAGATCCCAGATGATTCGAACCCATGCTAGGACAGCACTCATCATGTCTCAGGACGACAAAACACTCAGGACTGCCCTGAATGCAAGACCTCGGGTTGAAAGAGATTTCATTCCAGGCGACTATGTTGCATACTGGAGGACCCAGAAATACGAGAAGGGCATTCGACTGGTAGGCGGACGTTGGTTTGGAGTGGCAATTGTCATGGGGAAGGTAGGCAGGAATTACCTAGTGCATCATCGCAAGAACATGTTTAAGGTGGCACCAGAGCACTTGAGACATGTCACTGCCGAAGAACGCGTGCTGGCCCAGACCGATGGTCGAGAACTGCTCGGGTTGAATTCTCTTCTTGAAGATAAGGATAAACTAGGAGCACAGTTCATTGATCTCACCAGCACACCCACTCCTTTGCAGTTGGCAACTGAAGAGCAAGAACCAGAAGATGTTTGGCTGAGACAGGGAGATTTGTTGAAGCGGGTTCATCGGAAACCAAGGACACATTTGTTCATGCCTGACCCTAGTGATCCTGTGTTGATAGGTCTGTCATTGGACAATTGGAGAAGAACCATCAAGTCAGACACAAGAGAAACAGTTGTTCATCAGGTCTGGTCAGATCCACCAAGTCAGACAAGGGTGTGGGGTGATGAGGCATGGAAGGGAGAGTCCCAGTTTCGCATTCGACCCAGAAGAGAGCAGCCGACCACATTTTCGAAGCAACAGGAAGGTTCACAGGTGAATCCTGGTCCGAGCACAGGTCCTGTTCCAGAGTCAGCAGGAAAAGAGGCAAGCCAACAAGTGAGGTCGAGTGAGCAAGAAGCGGACAACCCTAAAGATAGTCCTCAAAACCCTAGGATAGGAAGTAACCGCTGGAGCCCCCTGGCAGAAAGCACTTCACAGGCATCGATTCCTGAAGGGTATGGACCAGTTCGACTCAGACAACAAAAGGGACCACCACTGGTGTTGTTGAGACCCCCTGAAATGAAGCAAGATGACTTTATGGATATTCTGGAGGAAAGTCATGGCACAAAGAGGAGTCTTTCACCAGAGGCACAGGCCAGTGCTCCCAGCAAGCATTTGCGAACCGATGAAGATGAATGCTTGATGTCAGAACTCGTGCAGGAGAATGGTCCAGCTCCCTGTGTGGAAGTGTTGATCGCCAGTTTTCTCCAGAAAAAGATGCAGAAGGAACTTCATCATTCAAACAATCCGTTCATGCTACAAGAACAAGTAGATCTCTCCAAGACGACTGAGTGGACCACCCTCAGAGATGAGAAACAAGCAATTAGGGTGATCCCTCCAAATGAAGCAAAGAAAGTCAGAAGCAGAAAACCTGATCGAATTATGACGAGTCGTTTCGTGATCGTAGAAAAACATGAGGACGGAAATTCGAAGATCAAGTCCAGGTGGTGCCTACGAGGACACCATGACCCAGATTTGCTTCAGAAGGTACTGGCAGGAAAATGCCATTCTCCGACCCTGTCCCAATTCGGACGCAGCCTCATTCTCCAAATGATCGTCAGCCATCAGTGGGTCATGCACTTAGGAGACATAAAAGGAGCCTTTCTCGAGGCTGACGTTCGTGAAAAGGCCCTGAGCAATCCAGTCTACGCAGAACTCCCACCAGGGGGCGTGCCTGGAGTAGAAGCTGGTTCCCTAGTGCAGATCCTGGGGAATATCTACGGGGCGAATGACGCCCCACATGAATGGTATTGCGAGTTCGATAGGGTGGCAACACAGGCAGGGTTCACACGCAGCAAGTTTGACAGTTGTTTGTATCTCTGTCATGGAGTAGATGGTAAACTGCAAGGCATATTAGGAGCACATGTCGATGACACGATCACAGGTGGAGAAGGAGAGTTGTATGATGAAGCAATTGCCAAGCTCAGAGCACGCTTTCCATTCAGAAAATGGAGATCAGGCACCGGAGAGTTTTTGGGCACAATATATGAACAGGATCCAAATTCCTTAGAGATCAGTTTTGCCCAGAAAGAGTATGCAGAACACATTCAACCAATTAGAATCAGTAAGGAGAGAAGCAAGAAACCTTGGTTGATTGCAAATCCCCAAGAAGTGTCCGCTCTGCGAGCCGTCAACGGCGCTTTGAGTTGGCTGAGCACTCAAACAAGACCAGACTTAGCCGTGCAAACGTCTCAGAGCCAGCAATGTTTTCCACAGCCGACAGTGCAAGACTTGCTGCAGGCCAACCAGGCAGTTCGTCGCGCACGACAACAGTCTGACCTCAAAATCCATGTCCCATATATCAATCCCGAAGAACTCACTCTGTGCTTTTGGTCAGATGCTGCTTTTGCTAACACTGACGAACTCAAGACACAAGGTGGTTGGTTGGTAGGGTTTACTTCGGATCGAATGAGGCAGGGTACAGATGTGGCTGTTCACTGTTTTGCCTGGAAGTCGTACAGACTACCACGGGTCGTTTCGTCGACGATGGGAGGCGAGGCCCAAGCTTTTTCGACAGCCGCAGGAATGTGCGAGTGGATCTCATTAATGTTGTCAGAATGTTTGGACGGACCATTTTTGCTGGAGGACGCCGAATCGGTCTTGTTGAAAAGGAAGCCAATAGGAATGACGGATTGTAGGTCTTTATTCGACCATCTCAACTCGTTGAGTTCCGGTGGAGTGTTGGACGATCGAAGAACTGCCATAGATATAGCCATAATCAGACAGTCGATTCGTCGCACAGGACTGGAGGCACGTTGGGTTCCGACAGGCCACATGCTCGCAGACGGTCTGACAAAAGATCGTGCAGAGCCCATGGACCTGTTGCGGTCTGTGCTTAGAGCAGCCAGGTACCAACTGGCGGACGAACAACTCGTCCTAGACCGGAAAAGAGAAGAGAGAGAAAGACGCAAACAGATCGCCAGTCAACGAGCAGAAGCCCACAAGAGCAAACCAGGCAGAGACCTGGAGAAGTGAATTCAAGTTCACATTTTGTGCAAGTTTTGTTTTCGGCAGGTGCATTTCATGTGTTTGATTGCAATTTCTGTAAATAGGTAAGGCCGTTTGGGTTACAGATAGGGTGCAATGAACTCAAATGTTTTTCTTGCCGCAAGCATAAGACTAAGTCATGCAGAGCATTGATCTCGTCTTTGGAAGCCAGAGTGTCGAGTTGCACTTGTTCAGCCGGTAGCGAATCTTTTGAATTGTTTGTGACATGGTCTTGTTACAAATGCAGCTTTGTTCTCGAAGCGTGTCAGTGCACGACTTGTTCGAACAAGTCAGATTGCCTTTTTGTGTTTGGTTGAAGCGAGATGGCATCTCAATCCACGCCAGTGACCCCAGAGGAACTGGCCGGAGCTCAGGAGATTTTCTCGAGAGCACAGAAGGCGGGTGTGAAGAGCAGGCAAGAGACCAGTCAAGGCTATGCTGCAATGAGCGACGGTAGCAAGCGCCTTCGAGATCGTGATTTGAAGGATGCAGCCTTAGACGAGTCTTGGGAGGCAGTGACATATGCCGAGCCTGAGCCAGCCCTTCATCAAGTACGCCTTGATCCAGGTGTGCCCTCGTCTCAGATCCCGCTGAAGCCAGAGAAAGATGGTCACAAGAAGGTGAATCTACCAGCTGGAATCATGAGCCTGAGCGATTGGAGCTCCACCATTTGCCGTTTGCCAAAGGTGAGCAAGTTGAATTTGACCTACGATGATCTGGTCAACGACAAGTCCTATGAAAGCTACTTGCTCTGGGTTCAGGCCCACGGAAAAGGGAAAAAATGGCAAGTTCGGTGATTTCGCGGCTTATTTGGAAGCCATTCGCTATGCAGAAGGTGTGAACAAGGGTCACACATCAGATGCAAGTGCCAGTTTTCCAGGCAGCACTGAGAAACGCGAAAAGCGTTAGAACATAGCTGAAGAAGGACAACTGCAGTTCCAAGAGAGAGAAGAGTCCAAGGAAGATCCATCGGAAGATTTTCCTCATTTGTAAAGAAGAATTTTAAGGAATGAAAAAGCAGTGTCCAGTGTATGATAGAAGACCGCCACCGGAGGCAACCACGGCTCGAGGCTGAGCGACAAAGGTGCGCCTGTGGGGTTTTGGGTAGGTTCCCCAGTGGTGGCACTTTAGGTGCCTAGTTTTCACACACATATATATATATATATATACAGAAACGGTTAGCAGCACATGGCAGCACTTCACCCAACATAGTCCCATTTGGCCCCGAGGTTCTGGGTCATTTGAGTGGGCTTCCGGCGGCTTCCGGCTTTTGGGGAGGATGACTATCCTTTTTGGTTGAGGGCCTACATTGGCCTACAAGTGTTGTCGTCATGTTGGAGCACTGAGTAGGGCCTAAGGCGGCATTGAGAGAAACCGAACATCACTTCAACCACTGGCTGTTGTTCTCAGAGAAGCCACTTGTCGCACTCTCCAAACTAGGCGGGTGGCCTAAACTCCCCATAGGCCTCAACTCAGAGAGCCTCGTCTTTCCACCAAGCCTGGACGAAGGCTTCAAGCTCTTCCGCTTTCAAGCGGCTGTGCCTGGCAGCATCCCCATGGCAAAACCGTGGGCCAGGGCACCCGCCAAACCAGGAGATCCGTGACGTGAACTCACTTTGGCAAGAAGCTGGTGGTTCGGGTAGCAGTCACAGACTCACTATATTAAATATACATATATATATATATGCATACATGTACACTCGTCATTATTGCAGACACTCCTAAAATCTTCCGCTCTCTCTCATCGTCACGAATCTAAGCATTCCCGTGCCAACTGGATGGAGACTGGATGTGCCACTGGGTGGGAAGGCTTGGGCCAAGTAAACTGAAGATGAATCTCATCCGTAAGCCGTAAGAAAAAGTGAAAGACCACAACTGGTGGAAGCCGGAAGCCTTGAAAGTCTTGTGATCCCTGCAAAGCCTTGTGAAAGACTGTGTCGCCGGTTTCGCCGAGTTTCGCCTCAGTCGGTCCCTCCCTCCGGCCTTGAGGTCCAAAAGCCTCCTTGATGGCAAACGATCTGGCGACCCGCCACCTGCTCGCACCGGCTCAGTGTTTGTTTGGTCGGCGTTCCCGGGCGACCCAGAGTAGCATTGATGAAAGGAGAATCCAGTGGGCTGTTCACCAAACACATTCCAAAGGTTTGCTGTTTGGTTTCTCTGTTCTTTGTTCATCACAATGCGTTAAGTTACAGGAATTACAGCAGTATCACAGGCAGCCAAGGTTCAATCAACCTCATGGCACGTCCGTATGAGCGACGGTCTGACTTTCCACATTTCCCACCATCGAATCAAGACAAATTCTAGAACCAGGCCTGTAGCACATGCCATTTTGCAAAGCCCAAGCAAGGCTCATTCAGTCTGACATGTGCACAAATAATGCTCGGATAATGCTCGGATAGCTTTCAATGCATACAGTATCATACAGTGATATACAGTGTCCATTTGACTCGGGGCGCCTGAAGAGGTCTGGGCAAAGCTGAACTGTTGATGGAGTCCGGCAGATCAGACATCAGCACTGGCGGCTGATCTGATAACATCTGGAGCCATGGCAGCATCACCTGGAGCGAGCGATCAAGGACGCGAACTGAGGGGCCGGGACGCTCCTGGCCTTACTACTAGGAACATGAGGAGTAACAAAGGGCATTGCATGGTATCGCTACTAGGAGCAAGGACGCTACTAGTTAATTGGACTGGAGAGATCACCTGGCCCTGCTTTGGCGCTTACCTTCCTCCTTTTTGAGGGACTAGCCATCAAAAACCCACTGGTGATGTGGGAATTGGGTTCTTTGGGCTCCTAGTTCAAGACGACGAATGAGGTGAAGTTCAATTGAAGAGTTTGAAAGTCACGAAAAGCAAACTAAACATGTAGGAATGACATAGGAACTAGGGTTTACTCTGTTTAAGGACATATGCATCATCTCATATCACTCAGAATGCATACAACATGTTTCCTGTCAAGTTTAGCCAAGCCCTCCAAACGGGAACGCCATGCCAAGTTGCACTTTGCACCTGATTGAAGTGATTCACCTGTTCAACGCAAGGAGGTAGGAACATGGACGAAGGAAGGCGAAGGTGAGCTTAAGGCGCTGCAAAGTGTTGTTGTTGGTGGTGGTGAAAGAAAGAGAAGAACACGCAGAAGGAGTGTCAGGTCAGGAAAGTGGAGTTACGCATCATGCAAAACAGTTTTGTCACAAGAACGTGTACAAAATATTTGACTGACGACTATTGGACTCGACTATGTGCAGCATGTACAGCAATCTGATGGAACCCGATCCGCCTCACAAGCCAATAAACAAAACACCAAATCCCTTCCAAAGACACATGTTTGACAACTGGCCCAGCCCAAGTTTGACACAAGAGCTCTGCCTGGAAGCCAGCATCAAGCAACCCTTTGCGTGGAAAATAGAGATACAGCTGAAGCGTCTTCCGAAGCTTGAGCATTTCCTCTACCCCTCCATGCGCCAGCGCCAGGCCTCAGCAAACTCACCCTGAGCAGCTACGCTACTTCATGCTATACATATCGGTGAAGATCTAATATACACAGCCCCTCATGCAAGGTAACTGATGCTGAGTCCAAAACAATTCGGCGCTGATAGCATACAGTAGTTAGTAGAAAAAATCGGGACACTGGAAGTGCATCTTCTCTATCAAAGCCATCCTTTGGGTCTCGGAATGGGCTGGGGCGGTCATGGTGGTGGGATGGTCAAGCCATCGACTCGCTGTTGCCTCTAGATCGCCTGACACGCAACAGCCTCTGAGGGATTTAGTGCTACTAAAGATTTCAGCCTAAAAGCTATCGTGAAAAGTGATCCTGAACTTCACCCCAGTTTACCCAATGCCGGGAAAAAAGAAAGTGGCCGGCCGCCCCATCTTCTCTATCCTCATCCAACCCATGCGGCAGCACGGCCCGGTCCGATCCACCGATCCACGACTTGACCCGTCCAAGACTCCAAGAGTTGCATAGGCAACAGCGGTCAAGTGATGGATGCAGTGCCCCAAGGTGGTCCAGGACTCGACGGTGTGAAAGAGAGAAGCAAAGGAATGAAAGGATAACAAATTGTATGGTTCTCTATTTTGTTTAATCTATTTATAGAGTTGTTTGGTTGTGCAAAAACGTTTTTTTTTGGTATTAATGTAACATATATAGTTATACATATATATATATATATATATGCGAATCTTCCTCTACCGGGTTGTTGCACTGGGGCGTGCACAAACGAAAATGAAACATCATGAAACCACTTCAAATCGCCGCATCTGCAATGGGGTTTGTCATGAAGTCACTAGCGCTGACGAGTCATCGCAGGCGTGGCAGGCTAGGCACAGGATTGTCCACAAAAATCAGCACAGCTCGAGTGCCCAGAAATTTCATGGGTGAAGCCAGTGAGGCCAGTGGAAACGCTGGAAGTAAGCTCCATGTGCCGGTGAAATCCTCGGGTTTCACGGATGTTCTGGAGATGCTCGTTCGACCCAGCCACCTCACCCTCTAACCAGCCACATCCTTCTTATTGGGATTTCTTTGGAGGTGCATCACAACACCTGCAGTTCAGGTGAACCTCCAATCAGTGACAGAAGAGGATGGGAGCCATTGATGTACCAAATTCTGTAGCTCATTGAAACACGTTATCTTATGGCGTCATTTGTCCTAAACCTCCACACCAACGACCGAAACAACACTCCACAGGGTTGCTGTTTGCCGCTGGAATGGCATCAAAATGAAGTTTTCGGTGGTGTATGTTGCAATCACCTCCTGAGTATTGGTGGCTTTCAGTGACAGTGAGGCCTTGTTACAAAACTCAAGGAACTCCTGTCAACCTCTCCTCTGGACACTGTCATTATGGGCAAGCGGCAAACAGTTCAACCAGACTGACTGCTGACCATACTTGCTTGTCTTCGATCCGTTTCCCCTTCGCCCGAGCATCATACAGGTGCAGTTTCTTGCCGCTCAAACCTGGCATGACCAATCTGAAGTGGTCAGCACAAGTCGTCATGACAAGTACTGTAGATTGCACCAGCCCGTTCGAATCCCAAGCACCTCAATCTATATATTCATGGATAAACCTTGACCACATCAACGGAACTGCGCCATCAGCCTACAGAGATTCATGGCAAAATGCAGTCTGCAACTATACAGTACAAAGTCCTGAGGCTGTGGTTCTGTTTCTTTGACCATTATCAATTACCACAGTGTCAGTGAATCACTGGCGATTTGTAAAACCATGTCCCACCCCCGAAGTCCAGACTCAGTCCCGCAGCAGCGGTACACTGTCGGGGCGAAGTGAAAATTGCGGCTAGTTAGTTCGGGAAGTGGAGGCTGCAGAACGGAGATGTGATTTCTCAACCAGGAAGGTAGAAATTTCATGAGACGTCTAATGAAGCGTCATCATACAGAGTCGAGATCGACAAAGACAGTGAAAAAAGTAGTAATGTCCAGCGAACAGTACAAAGAAGTAGAAATCGGTGAAAGCTCAAACTACTTAGTGTGCTAAGAGTGTATATATTCTCGGCGTGTGTGCAAAGACGTTTCTACATCACACTGCCCCTCATTCAACTCAACTGCATCACACATCACCACGCTACCATTCTTCACATCACCTCACACTACGACTACGCTTCTATTGTCTATTGCCTGGTATCCATGCTTTCCTACCAAGATCCACCCCTTCGACTCTGGTTAGTGAGATCGGATCAAAGAGTCCGCAGCGTCCAAGAATCGACACAGCCTTCAACCCGCAAATGAAGTGTTCCTCAGTGGCTCGAATTGCAACATCGCCTTCAAACGGTTGTTTAAGTTGCCTTCAACTCACCTTGGTTTAGATGTGCTGCTGTTACTTCCACGGATCCAAAAGCATCAACGCCACCCTGCTAAGCTGCAATCAACGAAACCCTGCTAAGCTGCCGCAGGCATGCTTTGGATACTGCATGGTTAGAGCAGAGCCATACATAGCCATATGATGAGTCTGCCCAAGTTGTCCAATCGTCCAAGGCTGCATTGCCAAGAGGCCATTTACCCCGAAACACAGAGGTGGGAATGTCGCTGCATTCTGCGAGAGCGAAGGAGTGAGCGAGCCTCAGAAGAAAGTGGCGGTGGAAACGCATGCATGCCGTAAATAGAAAGTCCCGAGGTTTCTTAGCACGCGCATCTCCGGACAAACAATCGTCCCTATCTTCCCGCTCTCACTAGCCAAGCACGATGCCTTCTTTTAGTGCATGTCGATCCGCATGGGCGTGTGGCCTACTTGAGTGGACAGATCGAACCCCCAACACACACTCACACCTGTTTGGGTCTTGAAGTGAGGGTCCAACACAATCCTTCGGAATCTCCTGATGCTTTATACGCGCTGACACCCACACTGCCAACCATGTGGATCCTCACCTGAGCAGAAAAGGGCACTTCCAGTACAGTAGGTCGTCCTCAATCCAAGGCCATGCCACGTTGCTGTCCAACGTCAGGTGGCCACTTGCCAGAGGAAACCTTGATGGCATGAGTGCCATCAAGGTAAAAAAAAAAAGCAAAGGTTCCCCGATGTAGCATTGTGGAGTCGCGTGATTCTATGCAAGTCTATGCAGGCTCATTCATCATCACTTCACCTTCTGGACAAGATCATCAACAGTTGATCAGTCAAATCGGCATTTGTGTCTAGCCGCTAGCCAGATGTGCTTGCCACCCATCAAAACAAACAAACTGCCCAACGGAGAAGCCCGTGGTACTTGGCCGGCGTCATGCACGTTCCAGCCATATATATTATGCACTTGCTACTTGCTACCTGCCAGTGGCACTGATTGTCCGCCACCACACAATTGACCCAAGTGGCTTTCATCTCGCCAGTCCATCCCACCTTAGCTGGTCTCAACCATGTCACAAACTATCCCTGAATTCCTGCAGGGTTCTCTCCATTTGATTTCGCCACTCAGTAGCGAAGCTTCTTAGAAACTCCGTGCCATTGGCTCCTGCATCTCGCCTGCATCTCGTCCTGCTCTGCCACCAAGTGGCATAAGGCGAAGCTTTTGGATCCACCCGGCCGAGGTAGGCGAACCTCAGAAGTTACAGTGGCGAAAAAGCTCCTAGCAGCGTCCTTGCTCCTAGTAGTAAGGCCAGGAGCCCCTAGTAGCGTCCTTGCTCCTAGTAGCGATGCCAGGAGCCCCTAGTAGGGGTGAGCGTCGGATCGGTCACCAGGATCGGTGACCAATGTGGTCGGATCGGTCGCCCCGGATCGGTGACCACAAAACACGGATCGGTGACCGGATCTGACGGATCGGTCGCTCGGTCGCCAGGATCGGTCACCGAAGGTATAGCGAAAACAAGTGAAACAAAGAAAGCCGACCATACCGGATCGGTCGCCAGGATCAATCACAAAAGAGGCCTAGGGAAGGAAGGCAACGGAAAAAAAAAAACCAACCACACCGGATCGGTCGCCAGGATCGGTCACCGGAGAGGTCTCGGGAAGGTCAGGAAAACAAACCAAGCCAACCAGACCGGATCGGTCACCAGGATCGGTCACCAGAGGTGTAGGGAAGGCAAAAGAAAAGATACCAAACCAATCATACCGGATCGGTCGCCAGGATCGGTCACCAGAGAGGTCTAGGAAAGGCAAGGAAAACAAACCAACCTACCACACCGGATCGGTCGCCAGGATCGGTGACCAGAGAGGTCTAGGGAAGGCAAGTCAAGGAAAACAAACCAAACCAACCATACCGGATCGGTCGCCAGGATCTGTCACCAGATATATAGGTCTAGGGAAGGCAAGGAAAACAAACCAAGCCAAACACAGCGGATCGGTCACCAGAGAGGTGTAGGAGAGGTGTAGCTACGGAAAAGAAAAAGAAACAAAACAACTGTGCCGGATCATACGGTGAGTCCAGACTTTTTTCCTCAAATTTCTTAAACTCAAGAAACGGGTTATTGGCGCGCAAGACCGAGGAAAAATACCAACCACACCGGATCGGTCGCCAGGATCGGTCGCCATCGAATTATATATCGTGGGACACGGAGGAAAAAATACCAACCACACCGGATCGGTCGCCAGGATCGGTCACCACAGAGGTATTGTGTAAAACACAAATCTACTTAAACAATTTCTGCTGCTTAGTGGGAGTGCATAACAAATACCAGGCTTACTGGATCCTATACCGTCGCAGTAAAATATCGGCTTTGGGTTTTTGACAGTATACCTTAGTGTTGAACACCGCTCTGCTCGGACGCCTTTTCATTCCCCACCTACCTTCATGTGAAATTAAGAAAAGGTCCTCTGTTTAAACAAATCGTGTTTTATTTCCATGGCTTCGCAAGCATTGAACAGAACCACTTACCAAGGCCTTTCAATGCCTTGCTTGAATCACGCGTATGAGGCAGGTAGAGCAAGCCTTCAGCCTATCCCATATGTACCACTATAGGGCCCCATTTGGTCCCTCAACCTCTCGATCTTGAATCGCAATATTGAACCAATCCCAAAATTGCCGGAGCGAAAAGTCCTGCCGCTGGCTCTCCATTTAGGCCAGCTCAAATCCGAAGTTTGGCGGCAAAACGTTTGAAATGCCGAAGCTGTGAAGCTTTACTGGTGAGAAGATCCGCTGCGCTCAGAGATGCACCACGCAACACTGAAGGCCTGCCCGTCCAGCGCACTCCCGAAGCGCCAGCGGCGCCGCGCTCACAAGTAGCGCACGGCCTGCCAAATGTTCTTTGGCACGTCTGCAGTCACCACCTGTCGACATGTCGAGGCTGCACTCACTGCACGGTATGAACATTCCCTTAGAGACACTATTATGCAGGGTACATTATGCCTTAGCTGTCTTAGAGACACTAGGTGACATGGCGGCTGTCTCAACATAGTTCCTCGAATTTGGATCGTTTTAGGGGTGCAAGCCAAGCCACCTTCACCATGGACATGAAGGGTTGTCTGTTAGACTTCTTGAAATGGTCGTTGTAGCAATCCCACAAACCCCAACCCTAAAACCTAACCCTAAAAATCTAACCTTACAGCCTAGTAGTAGTAACAGTATAACAGTGACACGAGTAATATTAGAAATGGTAGTCGTAGTAGTCGTAAAAACCCTTACCCTAAAACCTAGCCCTAAAAAAACTTAACCTTACAACCTAGTAGTAGTTGTAGTACTAGTAGCAGCAGCAGTGGTAGTATCGTAGTAGTAATAGTAATGGAAGTAAAAGTATAATAGTGATACTAGTAATCATAGAAAT